TCAGGGGCTATTGGTACATGTGAGCACACATGTACTGGCCACAAAGTAAACTAACTACTACTAGTACTACAGTTTGGGTAGAATTTGGGCATTAAAAATGTCGCAACGCTAAATAAAAAATCGCAACGCTAATTTATGATATGAAAATTGCAAACGCGGTTGATATCCATTATATGTATAAAAGAGTAAAAAAGCAACGCGAATCGTGATTGTTCGCAACACTACCCTGAAAAGGAAACGCGAAAAATAGCGATTCGCAACTCTACGAGCAATCGCGTTTATTAATTGTTCGCAACGCTATATTTAAAGCAAACTCCCGGTGCCTAAGTTTGCGTAAAAACAATCGCGAGATGGTAATTATTCGAAACACTACCCTGAAAAGGAAACGCGAAAAGTAGTGATTCGCAACTCTATAAGCAAACGCGATTATTGCATGTTCGCGACACTATGTATATCATAACCGCGAGTTGTCCTGATGGCTGGCATATATGGTGCAATCATGTACCAAGTACATGCATATGTGAGCCAACCAAAAGGACACAGGGGAGTGATGGCTGGCATATATGGTGCAATCATGTACAGAGTACATGCATATGTGAGCCAGCCAAAAAACAAACTACAACTACAGACGAGTTAAGTGACAAAGTAGCGATAGAATGACTTTCCATTCTCATCCGAAGATGAAGATGGAGAGCCATTTGTTGTAGCCCACTCTTGAAACTGTTTGTCAGGGCCTCTTCAACTCATGGAGTCTTTTCTTTCTTCGGCGGTCCTGCCGATGCCTGAAACTTACTTAAAACCGGGCTCGAGATTTCGTGCAATACGTAGTCTTCCAACAATATACGAATTGTTGAAAGAGCATACGTGGTCATCTCGAGGGAGACGAGCGTTTCGAAAGGGACCTGATCGCGACCGCGAGCGCGAGAGAGCGACTTTAAGAGTCGCGCGATTCGAGGAGTCGAAAATAAAGCCGAAACAAACAGCACAAGCACACCGTTTGAATCAGCAACATTTCTACTCTCGAAATCGTAACTACAGGAACAGAACTGCCACGCGAAAACGCGCCTGCCCGAATTACTAATGTGGACAGTCCTGCCCTGACCCTACCTACTTAGATTTAAACACACACACCAGAGAATAAGTTACCTACCTACCTAACCCTATATTTAAAAAATTGCAAAACTCAATCAGGCAAACAAACACTCCACGGTTCTCATACAAAATGTTCGGGCGCGACCTAAACTAGAGAGGACTCCCCGGGGTTCCTCCGACACCCGAACATTGCAAACATTCACACTCTAATTGTGGACTTACTAGTTTCTGAGACTGACAAGGGCTAGTGATCTTTGCGTACTCATATTATATACAGAAATATTTGTATAGAACGTTTTAATATATGGAATCTAGTCTTTAATAAAATGTATGTATGTATCATTATATTAGAAGATTGAAAAATATTAAAATTGAAATCCATTAAGATCAACAATTATTCAAATAAATGGAAAATTGAACTTTGATATTATTATTGCAATTGATAAAAATCTAATGTTATAAAACTAAGTGACTGTAAATTACAATTATAAAAATATCTGAAACGACGCACTTCCACAACCTAACCACACACACACACATGTGGACAGTACGTCGTGCACGATTCACTAACCAATGTCAGTCGTCGATATGTCGTTGAATTATTATGAATAAAGTCATCGTGCCCCGTTGCCTTCGCTCATGCAAATAGCACCTGGGCATGTGCATGAACTTAGGCAACGAACACGGAAAACTATCCTGAAAATCCTGACTAGAAAGAATGGTTAATAGCTAAATGGTATTTCGTATTTAATTTGAATGAAAATTACTCGACTTGTTATATCTGATATATCAACAACAAAATAAGTTAGTATTGAAAAATATTATTGTTCAAGAAAACTATTATTATTTAAATTTAATTATTTGAAAGGAAAGACTTTATTAAGATTCTGTGATAATTGAAACAAATTTAATAAGTTATAATTTAAAAAATTCAAAGTCGATTCTGTAGTAAAAGTAAATTTTTTAAAAAGATGGAAACTGGTATAAAACGCGTGTTACTTTGACTGGAAAATCGACCTGTCGCGAAATGCCTTCTTGCACATTAAATACATCAAACGATGTATTAATTAAGTAAACGATCAATATTTAATAATTTATATTAATGTCGTAAATATTATTGTACAATATCATATTAATTATCATTCATATTCTACTCGATCATGTGATAAATATAATGTTTTCACATTATATTAATTTATTTTCTATTCGATCAAATAACTCATGTAAAGTTAATAAAAATATTTCATGTATTTTATATAAATTGTGTTATATATACTTATAAAAATTTTATAATAATCATAATGTGTGATATTTATTTGTAACATTAAGAAACGCGAGTGCAAGAAGGACCCTAGCCTGCACTAAAATAATATAACAATTGATGTCACTACTCACGGGTATTTTTCATACCCGCGGTCACTTAACTCGTCAAAAATAGCAAGTATACAACTGGTCACCCGTGTTGATTCGGATCTTTCATCCTACAACATGGTTGGGGACCAGAGGAACAAAAACACATGCGACTCACCAACCGTTGACTACGATAACCTCTAGGTAGACCTCTGCGATGCTGCTTCCCAGTGTAGTCATCAACGAAATCGTCTGCATGGTCCTGCTGGTCACCAGGATGTAAGGAAGGAGATCTGGAAACTGTAAAGAATAAAACAATTATAATGTATTGTTAAAATTCTAGAGATTTTTAATTTCATACAAGAGTCTCTACATATTCAAAACTGAGCGATACTTACAATTTTCTCTCGTGGAGAATCGCTCAAAACTCCTCTTCAATGATGCACTGATTCTAATACCGATAACGAGCAATTCTACTTTTGAAAGGAATAATTGAAAAGAATATTAAAGGAAATGGTAAACTAACGCGACCGAAAATCAAAGTCGGCGAACAAGGGACTCTACTATCGCGTGTTAGAAAACAAAGAGCCACGATGCTCCGGTGAAAATTTACTGCTGCGCAATATAAACTGACTCGACCTTCGCGTATACCTAAAATGTAAACGTAACTCTACTCGAAGCAGCTGTGCTTCGAAAAACTGTTTACTAATCTACGCAACAAACACTGACTCTATTGACCGCTTTGCACGCGGCCAGCAAAATTCCTGAAAGAAAAATTGTAAACTGGGAAAGGAAACAAGAAATATTCAACAAGCACCGTGTGCTTTCCTATCTTTATTATTATTAAATTTAATGTTATCATAGGAAATACTGTCTCTGTAAACCTGAAAAGTAATTGTTTCTTTAAAATTGAAAAGTAATAACAGAATTTAAAAATATTACATTGCAACTTTTTGGTGCTAGAATTGTAAGCATATTGACTGAACCAAATTTTAAAATATATTCGGATTTTTATAAATATTCCGAATCTTGCAAAAATTCAAGTTCTTTAATTAGTCGTACCTACATGTTAGAATATAATTGCGATGATTTTATATTTTATCAAACTTGCATATATAACTATACGAAACTGCAAATGCGACATTTCGTAACACCAGATTTATAAAAAGTTAATTAAATATCAATCGCGATTAAAATACAGTAAAATGTAGATATGTAATTCCAATTTTCCACCCATGTCTGCCGACGCCATTATTAACTCTCCCCAATAAAATCACGTAACCGTTACAAAAGGAAATAGAAAAAATGTGCATTACATCTTTTCTTGTTTGATCTTAACACTGAACGCAATAATTATATCGTACTTACGAAAAGTAAAAATTCAGTTATTTACTACAATAAATTAAATGTTACCAATAATTTTACCAATCCATTTCAAATGATTCGGTCGATTTGATTGTTCGATGTAATGGCGTCCATGACCGGTGGCGTCCTAAAAAATCAGATACTAAAAGACAGAAATAAAATACAAATTTTAATTAAATGCATTGATATAAATATACTTATATTACAATTAAACAACGACTGAACTTGAAATACGTTGTACGAGATTGTATACGATTATATTTACAGAAATATAACGAAGGTTAGATGTCGAAAAAAATGCGCGAAACCGATTCAACATTTTTCGCGATTCCGATTCAATTCGTAGTAAAAATGAATTAATATTAAACGAAGGCGCCGTTAGAGAGTGGCAGAGAGAAGTAGTAATTAGAAGGGAAGCGATTAAATGTCGATAGATAAGAGGTATGTATATCGTCGAACCTTCTTATCTGGGAAACGCCAACACGTCCGATCGCGCCAATTTTCACGTTACGAATGACGACGCCGTCCTATTAGCAGCGACATCGCGAACTAGGCGGTAGGTGGGGGAACGTCTAATGGCTCCAATACTCGATGTTTTCTCGAAAGATTAAGCCTCTAATTTTTAATAATACTGTTGATACCTGAGTTCGAGGGTGCCTCAGATAGAAATTACGACTGCAAAATATTCAAGGCCAAAATTTAATTAACAAATGATTTATTATCATCACACTTTCCTCGTGTCGCTATGCAAAGCTTCCGTTTCTCGATACATCTCGATCTATCAGACGATTCGTAAGTAATTCTATCGGTCGAAATACTTTATAATGTAAATTATAATGTACGTATTAAGAAAGTATTACCAATGGATTGACAAGATTCTCCCGATAAAAACAACACGAAACACAATCGATGTTGATTCGACCCTTTCGTCTTACGACGTAGTCTGACCGGCTTCGACATATTTCGACAAGTTTACTTTCTGTAAGAGTACGCTATGAAATTATACTTACAATGCTGGTGTTCTAATTCATCTAATTCATCATTGTCATCATTAATTGTCAACACTATGGTGTTTATTACGTTAGATACGTACTACAGACGAACTGGGGTACAAACTTTATAGGATACGATTGAAAGTCACACACACTAATTCTATGGTTGTGTCGTAGACGAGGTATCGTCTGTGAGATGACTAAATCTATCGGTAAAACAGCACAGGATCGTCTCAAATTACTTCTTCCCGTTCGTATCTCGTTCGTTGAGTCACGTCACACAAATCTGGAAGAAAAGTTCATCAAACATGTCACTCTCTTTTGGTATGTGCGAAACCCCTGGCTGCAAAACTATGACCAACCTGCAATGTCCAACATGTTTGAAAATTGGAATACAGGGCTCGTATTTCTGCACCCAGGTAAGAATCACCATGCGCTTATAGGTTAGATCAAAAAGTGGATCTTTGTACTTAATATTTGAATACGCACCGCGTGACAGTGATTCATAAGAATTTTAATTTCGAGCACCGATATATACCTTTATTATTATAATGATCATAATGTACAAGTGTCAGTATTCTTTGCTGTTAATTTACAAATGTTACACATACACTTACAATCGTAAAAAGTAATCGTACGATACCTTTAATTTGTAAATATATTAATAAAGATTCTTTAAATCGTTTTAACCTTCCCTTTCTGCATGTTCCAAATTTTCATACTACATGAGTGTCTTTCACATTTCACTGCTATATTTCAGGATTGTTTCAAACGTTACTGGAAAACACATAAAGTTATTCATCAATTAGCGAGTGAGTTTAATAATCAGCACTTATGTAATACGTGTCTGTAGCAATAAATAGAAAAATTTGAGGAATAGTATACACTGTTAGTAATTCATAAAAGCAATTATAAATCTAGATTTTATACAAAATTTATTTTAATAATTCAATGTTATGTAGCTTGTAAACATTATGTGCTTAATTAGAGGGAACATGTGGAGATGAATCTGCTAATGAATATAATCCGTGGCCTTCTTTTCATTATACTGGAAAATTACGTCCTTATAAAAGGGAACCTCGTCGAGAAGTACCTGAGCATATACAACGTCCAGATTATGCTATAGATCCTAGTGGTGTCCCTGTAAGTGAACAGGCAGTACGAGGTTCTGCTCAGATAAAAGTGCTCGATGATGAAGAAATTGAAAGCATGCGAGTAGCTTGTAAGGTAGTATTATTTGTAATTATTGAAATTTTAACAATATTTTTTATATTTGTACAAGGCTGTTTTTTAAAACATGCTTCTCTGATCTTCTGTCTTTCTTAAGTACATTATTGTTATTTTAACAAAGAAGGGAAACCTAAACCACTGTTACACCTATAGCTTGGTCGTGAAGTGTTGGATGAAGCTGCACGTACATGTGATGTAGGCGTTACAACAGCTGAGATTGATAAAGCAGTTCACGAGGCCTGCATCGAAAGAGACTGTTATCCGTCTCCACTGAATTATTATCAGTTTCCAGCTAGTTGTTGCACTTCCGTGAATGAAGTAATTTGCCATGGAATTCCTGATACTAGACCACTTCTAGATGGAGACATTTGCAATGGTATATTATATTGTGTTATAAATTTAATATTAGTATAATTACGGTAATTTTATAATTTCATTGCTTTACAGTTGATGTAACTGTATACCATAATGGCTTTCACGGTGACTTAAACGAAACATTTCTAGTCGGTAATGTGAAACCCGAAGTACGAAAGTTGGTAGAAGTGGCATATGAATGTTTATCAAAAGCTATTGACATTGTACGACCCGGTGAAAAATACAGAGAAATCGGGAATATAATTCAAAAACACGCACAGGCGCATGGATTCAGCGTAGTGCGTAGTTATTGCGGACATGGAATTCATCGTTTGTTTCATACTGCGCCTAATGTACCTCACTACGCTAGTAAATATCTCGTTTGCAATCGATACATTAAATCGATCGATTCAATGTAACTTCTTTGCATTATTTACAGAGAATAAAGCTGTAGGCGTTATGAAGCCGGGGCATTGTTTTACTATAGAACCGATGATATCTCAGGGCACACGAAGAGATGAAATGTGGCCAGATAATTGGACAGCAGTTACTGCCGATGGTCAATGGTCAGCGCAATTCGAGCAAACGTTGTTAGTCACAGAGACTGGTTGTGATATTCTAACAAAACGACTGACAAATAACGGCAAACCATGGTTTATGGACTGATCATAGTAGCATTTCTTTATGAATTACTGTCAGTTTGTGACATCATTTAAAATTTCGTGAATGTGTAAACGATGTACTACTTAAGTACCCTTGTTTTTCTTTGACCGAGATTTGTTTTTTCAAGATTCAACTTTCCTAATTCAAAAGCACTATAGCAATATTAAATATTCAAATTGTGTCCTGTAAAAGATTTTTTACAAAATAGCCATTCTCTTGACTAATTTTGTAAAGTACGAGAAACAACTAAGTAAATCGATCCTTGAAAGATAGAATCTCGTTAGGTCTTTTGTTTTGAACCCAGAATGACTCCTGTACCTCATAGATCAGGAAAGGAAGGCCAAGTAGAGACTCGCACCTTCCCCCATTCGTCAATGTTCCTTGCGCTGTGCCAGCAGGCGTAGGTACGTTTTTGTTTATGTCATTTTACACCAAACGATTCCAACCGAGACATTACGGGTGTGCAAGTAGCCCGATACATCTCGACACTCGTATCGAATGGTCCAAAAACAGTTCGATTGGTCGAGATATATCGAGCTCTATTCAAATCCATTGCTTTCCTGATACTCCGAATTTATAGGGTATAGCTAAATAAGGGGGTCAAATATACCTTTGACCCAAATTTGACATACAATGGATCCATCGATAGAGCATCAGAAAAAAAACATTCTGTGCCAAATTTCAACCCTCTATCTTATTTGGAAGGGTAGTTACAAGGAAAATTCGGGTTAGCGAATTTGTGCCTATTTCCCCTATTTAATCAAGTACGAAAATTATAAAAAAAAATCTGGTGCATTGTGGTTATTGAGATACGTGTTTGAGAATTTTTTCCGATTTTTTGATTCCAAATTCTAGGTGTGCAAAATTAAAAACGCAGAAAAATACCGATTACTTTTTATTTAAAAAACCACAAAATTTTATGTATCGATCGTCTTATAATATTACTGTTTAGTATACATTTATAGTATTTAAAGAAACATTTTTGAGTTTAGGATTTCTTTATTTTATAATATTCATTGTATAGCGGTGTTTTGTTTATATTCACATTTAAACAAAAATTGCATCAGATTTTAATGTTTCCATATATGGTATTAAGAATATGGTAGATCGATTAAAGAAATATTGGAACTGCAGAAAATTTATCACGATCGAGACAATCGCGAAAGACTATAGTACAATAGAATTTACATTATATGTAAAGAGGTGTTAAAAAATCGTTTCCTTCGAAACGATTGAAATGAGAATTGCTACTTCCTCTCGAAGAAACTCAAATTGATGCAAGAATTTTATGGACAGGTAGCCAGAAAGTAGCCAAATATTAGCAAAATTAATACACGAAACCTTTGAAGGCACATTGGTTGGAGAAGGATATAAATATTTTGCAAAAAAACTTTCAAGGATTTGCTAGGATATACTTGAGAGTCACATATAAAATATTAAATTATGAGGAATCTGGGAAATGACATGAGGCCTTCCAATGCCAAAATATTCCCCACTCCTGATATAGATTATATCATTGATACATATGTATATACATATATAAGTGTAGCTCAAATCGATGATGCGTAATGATCGAGAAAAGAAATGAATTCTGTAAATCAATGGCGGTCTGCCCATTTTTTTTATAATCAAGTTCGAGTAATAGTAACAAATTATCTAAAAATAAATAACTTAAATAAATTACTACATCCTCTACGTGACTGTTTTCAGTGTATCATCGACGAAAGTTGTTCAAGTAGAAAATACAAAATATAACATGTTTTACATCGAAGAAAGATTTATTTTAACTTCCGTGTAACTTTCCCGTACAACTTCCGTCGACATACCTTGCAAAAACAACACCGAATGTCCCATTTTCGAGAAACGTTCCTCGTTGTCGTGTTAGTTGTAAAAAAAGATCCCGAACAAAGCTAACCGATTAATAGGATTGTAATAAATATTCAACTATACGAGGTGATATAATTTTCGAATTGGCTCTATGAAAAGTAACAGGCTAGCCTGATATTTTAGTAGCCACCGCTCTTCTAAAATTAGTCTCCTTGAAAGTTGAAATAACGGAAAGTTTTGTTTCTTCGTAAGCAATTCTCGTCATCTCTCTTCTAAAATCGTTATCTTCTGTTCTTCGTCTTCATTTTAAGATTGTCGAAAACCCTTCGTATTTCTCTAATTTAACCGTCTGTGATATTTCATCTTTTTTAGGGTGAAAACGAAACTCGAAAGGCGTAGTTCGTATCGACACAGTTGAGATTCATGAAGAAACAAGGATTGTGCATCGACTTCCAAGGGAACTAGGTATTTTATACGGTTATTTTAATACATATCACTTTTATGAAGCCAATTCGGACAATTCTCGATACCATCTCGAATATAGAATATTCTGGAATCGATGGTTTATATTGCAGTCTTCGAAGTTAAACGCGATCCAAATTCACCATTCGACTGTTCGTAGGTCGTTCTCCCGTCGAAAGAAGCGTCGGATTCCGAGTTCGTAACGTCAGTTTCGTCGTTCTCGTACTCGTATTCGACTTCCGTGTTTTCCTTTGCCTCGTCGTTTTGCGTCTCGCTGTTACTATACTCGTTTTCATCCGGTACCATGATTCTCAATGGTCGTTTATTACTATACACACTGCTTTGTCGTTGACGTAGCTGATGTTGTCTGTCGTACTCTTTTCGTTCATCCTCGTATTGTTGTTCTTCATGATTATATCTTTGCTTTTGTCGATTTTGTGCTCGATCTTGGTGAGACTTGTGATCATAGTGACCATCGTCATTAATTTCTTCACCTGTTTCGTAATCCTCGTGTTTGTGATTAGCAGGCATAGGCTCCTCGTTCAGTACAGTTTCTTGTTGCTTTTGCTGTTGCTGTTGTTGTTGTTGTTGTTGTTGCTTTCGAATTTGTCCTATGAGTTGGCTATTGACGTTTCCAGCTGCTGCTAGCGCTGCCAGCTTCTCGGCTGCTTCGCGATTCGGTAGCGTCGTATAAAATTGCGTAGATATGCCATCATCGTTAGCCACTTTGTTGAAGTACGTTGTCTGACTGTTCTGTTCGTTCGTTTCGTCGTACTCGATGTTATTTTCCAATTGTTCGGACCCGTCGGTGATATACGCGAGTTCCTCGGTCTGGCTCAGGTTGTTATCTTCCTGATCATCCATGGAAGCGTCTGGGCCCACGTTGTAATTGGTATTGACTCTTCCAGCTACGTAATCCTGATTAAACAAAACCTGCTGTTGCTGCTGCTCCTTGTTATCTTGCTCGTCGTAATTGAAGGATTGCATCTGGGGCTGAGAGAAACCTGTTACGCCGGTAGGTTGAAAGAATTGACCGAGTTGCTGCTGAAGTATGTGCTGTTGAAGCTGCGGCTGTTGACCTGGAATCAAAGTGCTTCGATTTATATCTCGTTACTCGACGCATCGTTAGTCGAAACGACGTCCTACATCGAAAAATTTAATTCCATTCTAACGCGTGCTGAAAATGATTCAGCCACCGTGATTTACCTGTCTGGTACTGTTCTGGTATTTTCTGAGGAAGGCTGTTCAATAGATCGTAAAGTTGAGTCGCTGAAAGCGGAGGACCAGCCGGTGCTGGATGACCAACGTGTAAATCAGGTATTTGTTGATTTATGATGTACGGTGTTTGACCAGCGGTACCGGGAAAGCCAACGTGAAGAGAACTGTGGAGATTCGTTTGCATTGGCAGATTCGGTTGTCCGAGTTGAATGTTAGTTCCGATCAGGCCTATGTTCGACGCCGGATGATTGTTCAAGTAAACGTCGTTCGATTGCAAATCGGGGTTTACTATAGTCGAGAGGCCTGTTACGTAGTCCGGGGGGAAGAAAGTTGGCAGAATGGTCTGATAGTCTTTCTGATTAACATCGTTGCTTTCCGTGACTTCGTACTGATGATGCGTCGGTGTGGGGCTGGTCACTGCTCTTTGCGGCGCCAAACTCGTGCTTATCGTGGCCATATCGAAATTTGGTAACAACGACCCTACACAGCGGGATATTAAAATGTACATATAAGCAGTAGACAATATATAAAACATATTTTAAAACCTTTGGTCCAAGATTATACAGTAATTCTTTGTTTAAACAATTTTTTAGCTTCCAAGTGGGGATGTCGCCTTAAGAAACGAGAACGTCGTCGCAAGCGAAACACAGAAAACCGCTATAATAGTCCAGAATTAACGACTAACCGTGAGGATTGACTTTGTAAGTAGAATCGGTAGTATGCTGTCGTTGAGGAGCCACCTGTGCGTTCGTCTCGCCGTTGAAAGGTTTGTCCATGGGGCTAAGATTAGGCGCTGGAATCGTATGAATCGGTCCTTTGTCATCGTCTACCCCGCCTCTGTGCGTTTGCGGTAGAACCGCGGCTTCCGGTCTGTACTCCGGGCTGAATTCCGGCATTTTGTTCACAGTGTGAAACTCTTTGACGGGTGGACGTTGTGGGAGGACCGCGATATTGTTCATAGGTGCCCGAATTGGCATTTGATTCTTCCAAATGCCGTGGGGCACGTTCACGCTGTTGTACATTGGCGGTCGACGAATTCTGAAACAACGAAACGAACGAAATCAAACTCGACAAAGAACAAATTACTCGGCGAGGTACACGGGATTTACCTGTAATTTGGAGGCTTATTATGAGACATTCGTTTCGGCGGAAAATTGCCATTGATGTACATCATATTTCCTGTCGAGATTCTATGGGCGATCGGCCAGGACTTTTTGTACATTAATTTCTGTGGTTGCGGTGGTGGGAGTGGAAATCTTCTGATCTTGTACCTGGCCTCGACGAGGCAGACACACGCGACCAACAGACAATAAATCCAAGGTGTTGTCTGAAATTTCATTGTGACACAATTATTAGATGATTATATGAAACCCGGTTCTTGCAACCATTCTAGATTCTAACTGACAATTACATTATTGAAATCAATGGAACATTCCCGTTTATCCGAATACATAGATAACTGTACATTGTTTAATTTTTTTCTTATTAGAATTTCAGTCTTAATTACGCTTCGTTGACCTGAATGTTTAGCGAGATTTAATTCTGTTAGTGTTTCGTAGAACCGGTATACATCTGTTATCGTGGAATATGCGAAGAATTTATAACGATCGGAAAAGCGGACATACCGAAACCGGAAATCCAGACCTATCGCGAGTCTTACGGTATTCACATATCAACACGTGCACCTTCTTTCGTTCTTTGTGGTTGTGGTATAATTTCAGCGCGTACGACATAATATGAGTCAGCGATCCTCAAAATTTCATAGACGAAAGAGCAACGCAATTATTTAATAGGATATTTAATCAGCGTCGCATTCCATTATTCAAATATTGGTGCAGAAATTTAGTTTGTAATCTCTGCATCTCCCATTGAATTGGTAAATTCCTTAGAAGAATAATTGTACAATTTATCTTGTCTTGTTAAACCAAGGGAGTATATATCTCTTAGATAAAACGTTTTGTACAACTTAATTTATCGGGCAATTTAAATTCCTGTTTGATTTACTCGCCGTGTTTCTCGCGGCGCTAAGTTTCTAGGACATTCTCCGACTCAATTACTGAATCAACTTTAAATAGCTTGAATGAACGTCGGTACAATTATCCGAATAAATTAATTTCAAACAAAAATGAACGATCAGCGTTCCAATTACGATGGTGTAATTGACGGTAACGATGCTTCGTTGCGCGTATACAGAAAGACTTGAAAAGCGTATTTTCGTATTCAAAGCGTTCCACCGTGTTACATTGAATGGTGATTTCAATGCCCGCGACAATGGCCCTGGCAATGGTATCCATTGTGTCGCTGACCGATTATGTTGTAGTTTGAGAAACGCTGGCACACGCAATGAAACCGAAGAGAGAAGTGCTGCAAGTTGTTAGCGAACAAAGTGGGACGGTGTGCCACATCGGTGTAGGAAAAGCGAGGGTAAGAAGCCAGAGAGGAGTGAGGTCGAAAAGAAAATAGTCGAGCGTGGAAATGATCGTCCGGCTCGTAAAGATTAGAAATGGTCACCGTAGATGCAACCTGTTGCATCGCGATCATTACGCTTCGTTTTCGCTCGACTTATGCGCTAGGTTTCACCCGACGAATAATCTTTCATCGCGATAAATTCACGAATTTTATTTTTATTAGGTCAATCGGATCAAGTTCACGACAAGAGTTCGTGTCAGATCCTCAGATTTTTATTCTCAACGCTTTATTGCTCTTAAAAGATATTTAAAACGAGCAACGATCGTCGCAAAATAGATTTTGATTTTATTCAGAGAATTTACATAATCTCTTTGTCGATGGTTTCTTTGCAAACATACTTTATATTGCTTAAATATATTTAATAATACATTCTTTACTTAATTGTTATTTGTTCCATGTTTTAAATTATCGCCAATTACTTAATGAAACGATTAGCTAATAATACGTCGTTTATTTCGTTCTAAATTGAAGTGCTATTCAAGATTTATAACAGATGTTCTCATTTACAGGTGCTTTATCATCCACATTAATAATTGAATTTATTCTGTGATTTAGTATTAGTGTACTCTGTAATAACTATGTACGTGTAGATAAGTGCTCTGTATTTCTTATTAATACTAGTTTCGATGGTAGAGGCGTTTCCTCGAGAACGCCGGTAGAAATACCTACTTCCCGTTAATGATAATACTCAAGCATCGACCGCCTATTCCTTTTTTTGTCATATAACGGAACAAGTTTCTATATTGAATGGACGGTACTATTAACATGATTTTTCAATCCTAACTATTCACTTGTATTTCTATCCATCGTTGTACAATATACAGAATACCGTCACACAGCTTATACACGAACAATTAACAAAACTATACATCAACGAAGAAAATTCTAAATAATTTAACGATCATTGTATCTTCGAATACAATTAAGAAGGTAAGAAGAACATCGGTTACGAATATACGAAGTTGCATCGATCGGTCGTTATACAAACATACATTGTTTAAATATTTAAAGTTATCGATCGCCAAGCGAAGTAATAATAAGTTATTGAAATATTTTCGTGTTTCAGTGACCTAAAATTAATTCTTAGGAGTTGGAATTCCTTCCTCGAATGAAACCAATTGGTCGACGACGAAGAAAACGAAGATCGGTAAAAATGTTCGAATCAGGTCGAATCGAAACGCAACGAACCATTAAAATTTACACGATACGGACAGCTTCTTCGAATTAATTATTCGTCGATCCGCGGTCCGACCAGTTTGCGTGAATTCAAGCGTTACTCACCTTCATCGTTTTGTCCTCCGACGAACGAGTCTTGAAAGAGTAACAATATTCGTGTTTTGTTCGGAATTATCACCTGTAACTTTTTTTCTGTTCGCACTGCGAGAAGAACAGAACTAAGAATAAATATACCGGAAATCGGGTCACGGTCACAAATAATCGAGTGCAAGTTAACACGCGCGATGGCTGGACGTCGAGGAAGCACTGCGTGTTCTGTACACAATTAGGTCATTGTCCTTCATTTATACTCGCAACCCGGCGAACGTATCATCGAAGGCCGAAACGTTGCCTCCTACCTTGCTCTGACGGATAACAGCTGCTTCGAAATGCGGAACGTAACCGGGAAAAGTCATTGGTTCCATGAAATTTACCGGAATTCCCAATTTTCCATTGTTAGCACTCCACGTTCGACGGAATCGCCGCGATCGGTAATTATTTCTCCACCGTGAGCAATTCATTTTCTCGTTGTATTTAATTGTTATATTTGTTAAACAATCTACAGAGCGAAAGAGCGATTATTTTCCTATTATCACGCTTAATTAAATTATTCTACGGTCATATTTCGAACGTTGTTTTCACATCGACGTCAATCTTCGCGATGTTAGTGGGAAATATTCACGATCCTCGAGGCAATTTATACATTCCGATAGAACTGGGTTCTATTATTATTAATCTCTGACAGGAAGTTGGTAACCAGCGGTACCATCCGTCCCGCTTTGACTCTATCATTTCCCTCTACGAGTAAAAATTTTTATAAATAATTATTGCCGCAAGAGTGTCTTGATGTTTTATTTAAATATAAAAAAGGAAGAGCATTCGTGTGAACTTGAGAAGTAGATACACGCCATGTATATTCACCGTTATTTTTTAACGAGTAATTTCAAAACGTATATTTATATATTTGTATTTGAATGAAAAAGTTTCTTCTCGATTCTTTAAAGATGTTTTAGTGTTTTGCTGTTTCTCTGAAAAATCTGTCGTTGTACGAAATTCAATTATTTTCATAAACGCGTTACAATAGGGCGCAAAAAAGGAATCAGGATGACAGGAAAGTCGATTTGTGACTGTATCATGGAGCCTCCGTGAATCGACAGATGGACAGAACGATCGAAGACCGGTCAAACGTCGTTTCTCTCCATATCCTGCTACTGGGTTCCCTCGTGAGAATACACCTGTGTGCGTGGATACGTGCGGACCAACGTGTGTGATCCAGTGACCCACTACAGGGTGTCCCACTACAAACAGGCCATCTTAATATCTTCGCTATTTTAAATAATATAACGAAACGTTTCTACTTTTTCAATTATATTATTTTCAATTATATTATCACAGTGGCAGACATTTTTGTACTTTTTAAAACTAATAAAAAGTTTCTTTCTCTTTATATAATTTTTTAATCCATTTTTATTCGATCTTCTTTTCATCGTCTTCTCATTTATACCAACATATCAATTTTCTTTTGCAGCTGAAACCAACGTGGAAACCCGTTTCGAAGGAGACACAGTATAGCAATGATACTTGCATCGTGGGTGGACGCGTCGAGATTAGAATGTCAACTTTGTTCTTATAAAATTTTTATTACTTTATGGTAGAATTTAATAGGTAATGAATTTCCCGAATATTTATATTAAAATCTATAGTCATAGATGATTAATTGTAATTTATTATTGCTTAATATTCGTCCTTTTAGAAAATATTGCAGTTACCATTTGGATGCGTGCGTGGAAAGAACTGGTATCATTTAGGTTTTAAAGTTCATTGTACCCTCTGTGATACTTGATGGAAGGAGATCAAGGCAGGACGTTGCTCCGAACGATTTATTTCGTGGATGTCGTTTATTGTACTTCGCATTCGCGTAATGATCGACATTTATGTTGGCAGAAATAACAACGAGGTATGTATCCAAAAACCACCACGAGATCAATCGATTTCACTCTACATAATCTTAAAACATTTCATATTGGATCAAAAGGGCGTTGGATTATAAACACAATTAAATTTAAATCAGCGTCGTTTATCAAGTAACTTCGCTGAAATAATAAATAAAAGGTCATAGTAACGGTAAACAAACAAATTTATTTATAAACTTGGAAACAAATAATAATATGAAATTTGTTTATTAACGTTAATCCGTTTTAAAAATTATAAATATTTTAAAATCTATAATGAGGAATTCTAAGATTAGAAAAGAGAGCAGAATAAAATAGTTATTCTAAATTTTTATGGCTTGTTTTGTTTCATAATGATCGACGTCAGCATATGGTAAAAATTAATTTCTTTTTATGTACATAATGAACGATTTACATATCCGCGCATATTACGCGTAACATTTACCATAGACTGTGACGATTGGCAATCAGTATTCTATTTTCTTTTCAATTGTCGATAACAATCCAAGCACAACGGTAATAACTTACAATACAAGTTAAGCAAAAATACTATACAGCATTTATCACAAAGGAAACGCAAATACAATAGATATTTTCTACGCTATCTTGACTCGTACATCGACTCGTAATTGTCCAACGTTCGTCGGACGTTTGCATTTCGAACCGCTTTCTTTTCGCGAATCACTCCAAGAAGGTACATATATCCGTGAATAACGGATTCAACTGTGAAATCTTGCGGTCTTCTTTTGTCGACTAGGTAAACGCCGAAAACACAATTCGCACACGCACACGTTTTCACCTACTGTATATAGTTATAAAGATTGACCCTTGGTGATACAATGCGTTTTCATAGCAATGATATTTAACGTAAACTAATCATTAGTCTGTGCAAAATAATAGACAAAATAACATTATCGAAAAACTCTTCCAGGGGCAATCTCTTCAACTACTCGGTACATGTAACGTTGTCTCGCACATAAGCTCGTTTTTAGTAGTCCTCGCGGAAAATTCTGCAAATTTAACGCAGCAAAATGACACTTCCCTCACGTTCCCCTGTGGTTACCTGCAATCTCCGTTTTTTATACAAATTCAGTGTCTCTTGTACTTTCTGAATCCACTCACGGAGGGGTAGAACGCATAAGAATAGACCACTGCAACAAACGATACGAACACAAAGTTACACATAAAAATATACGTTTACATGAATCCTAAAAAAAAAATGATACTAAGAAATTTTGCGAGAGCTGTTTAACTTCATTCGAGTCTGCAGGGGCAACGAATTTAATATAATAAGACTTTCATCGGAACGAAAGTCCACCGTTTTTATCAAATCCACGGATAAACTAACGGGTTTCACCCATTAACGCGCAGTTTTGTCTGTGACGGATTTCTCCATCGCGATTTGTCGGTGAACTTTCGTTGTATATTAATGAGCAGTCGCAGTTTTGGTTCGTCGCAGACTTTGATCGCAGTTTTTATTCGCAGTTGCTGAATTTACGTTGATGCTCTTCTATACCTGGGCTGATCCTGATCAAAAACCCAGGAGGAACATCTTTACAGGCTTGGAGCCCTCACCGTGACCCCTATCAATACAGTTGATAGTTTCGAGAATAAAAATTAATCTGTTGGTCTGTTTCAGCTTAAATTGGCAACCATCGCAAACTTAAACCGCCTCTAATTTCAACAAAATTCCTAACATCGACCATAAATAGCGACGATTTAGCGATCCTGCATCGACAACGGTTTCAATTACCTGCGGTCAGTAATTTAAATTATACTCGGTGCCGTCTCATACGCTGTGCAACGTCGTTTACAGATCTCCTTCTGTGGGCAGTGTTCCTCCTTCGATAGACACCGTGTGCATCGAAACCAGCGATAGGTTGAAGCAATCCTTGACTGGGCCAATGGGGCGGTAAATACGGACTCAACAGGGGTATCTTCAAAGGTCCTTGCACCGGGGCGCCGGGAAAGGGGTTCGGCGGAAAACCGTGGAAATTTGGATGCGGTGGTAGTTTTGGCAGCTCGTGGCCAGGCCCGTGATTTCCCGTGGATAGTTTGAACGCATTCATGTCGGGTTCTACGTCGATCGAGAAGCTCGAGTACACGTCCATAGAGTTGTCCGCGTGAGGCAATTTGAAGCTTCCTTTACCAGGAAACTTGTACTGAATGTGTATCGGTGGATATTCGAGGCTCTGCTGAATCGTTAACGGGCCATGGAGACTCAGTGGCAAACCGGAAGCCAGGGGAGGATAAATCGGATAGTCGTGTATCGCTTTGTGATCATCCACCGCGTGATGATGAGTCGGGACGTCGTAGCTCGATGGCGGACGATCGTGTAGATGATGATGGGTCTCCGTAACGTCGTTTCCGTTGTTAGGCTTTTCATAGATATCTATGTTCCCCACCAAGGTGTGTTTAACGTGTTTGTCGTCCAATCCTGGCGGCGGGCCATTGTAATTATCCTCCAGGTGCGTCAGGGCAGGTTTTTGAGAGTCCAAGTCCGTGGAATGGTCATCGTGATCGTTCGGTTTCGTCTGTTTCACGATCAGGAGGCCCGCGTGTTCATCAACTGTAAACGTGACGTCTGTCAGTCGGGTCTGAACGTTATCGTTAACTAATTATGTATCTACTGATGTTCGACTAATACGAATTCGTGCAAAATAGGAACTACAGTCTACACCGTCGCTTGAAAGTCTTAGGACAGTTTAAAAATAAATAAAAGATATTTAAATTTCTTTTTTATTGATTTTTGTATACTATTGTTGTTCTAAGACGTTTCAGCGACAATGTAAACGAGCTAGTGTATGGTGTTTTGTAACCATCATGATGACACAAACTAAATGAAATCTTGTTCTATTCTTTTGCTTGGAATAATGTAGTATTTTTTACTTTCCACAGCAATATCCAACGTTTTATTTCAGTCAACTTTCCCGCCTAAGTCGAAGGCACTTTTCAATATTTTCTTCTGAAAGAAATAATCTTGAAGAGAGCTTTCAATTTAAGTCGAAACGTTAACTCGTATAAAACGTTGGAATGTACAAAGTAATTTCCGAAGCATGAAATTACAATGGTCTAAGACTATTTTAGGGAAACATTGTTAGAATACAATAGAAAACGTGTACTGACAATTGGATAATAGATTCAAATATTCCACCGCAATCACCTTGTTAGAACTTGTTCGATGCTATGCAAATTTTATATTAAACAATGAAAATCTCTTTCTATTGATGTTTACCATCTTCTTTTGCCAATAAGAGTCTAATAATATAATGTGCGGAAATACACCATGAAAGTAAAGTAATGCGTATCCGGTTGAAGCGGAAGTTAGCTAGCAAAGTATTTTTATTTTGTTCAGTGAAAGGGTACCTATATATTACTTTCCTTCCATTCTAACATTTCTAATTTTTATACGCCCGTATTATCTTAACCGAAATTTATGAAACGAAAAATTAATATGTTTACTATCTTATTGTTTGTCTTCCCCGTTAGAAAGCGATTGCATTAGTACGAGACCGAGACAAAAGACGGGAAAAAGTTCTAGTTTCTAAAGTTCCTATTACTTTCTTGCATTGTTTACAGAAAAAGGCGAACCACTAACTACCACATTACGTACACTGATACATTTAATAATACATCAACTACCAAACGCCTTGTAACCCACGCTTAAATATGTACATACATCCTGATTAATAGAAGAAAGAATAGAATATTTTATAGAGAGGTCACTAAACGAAGAATTGGTTTGGAGAAAACATAAAAAAATATATGACTAATGTCTACAAAACCTGTGCTTGTTACATAAAAATTCGCGATCTATAAGGTCGCGAAAGAGCGAAAGTGGATTAAAACGTACCCCGAATTTCAAGAATGGTGAGAGAATCTCACGGAAGAGAGTAAACGCGCACAAAGAATAATAACGTATTCATACTCGAAAGGTATAATTCGGAGACGTAATCATCGGAATGATCGTTCGAGAGAATGTTCGCACAGACGGAAGGAACGAAGTTCAAAGCACCAAATACAAACGATCGACGTCAGAGTTCAAGATGCGTTTATGGAATATCGAGTCGACCGAGTCCGTACTCCGCTCGATCGCTTCACACAGAGGAAAGTTCCAGAGATTAGAATCTGGTTTGAAAGCGAACACCGCTCTTACTTTCTTTATTTCAAAACCGTGCAACAGGCTCCTCCAGGATTCTACTACGCCTCTCACCGAATGTTTCTTTCTTTTTTTTTTCATTTCCAGACACCCGGTCCGATACGTTACACGCTCGGATCAAGGGCTGTACTTATTTTCACGTGCATACCGCGCTAACGACGTAATGGACACTGTGAGTTTAATTCCTACGTATTAAGCCTTTAGGCGTGTGCAGATGGAGGGTATTAGCGACAGTACGTGGCTGTAAGCACGCGTCGTAATGATAGAAAGTCTTACCGTCTGAGGACGATTCATAATTTGTGTTTCCATGATACTCGTTGCTCGGCTCGTTGTAATCCTCGACACCGGGCGGTGGTCCGTCGTACGATTCGTGGTGACCTATCGTTTCATTGCGATATTAGTTTGGTAATGCTTGGACAGTAAATACAGTGATATTCCGACGTGAGTAAATTTGTCTAAATAATTCCGAACATTCGAAACGATAAAGGTACATCTTCTTTTCTTGTTTTCTATACGCAGGGTGTTTCAGATATTTACCGAAGCTGTAAGACTGTATGAAATAATCATCGTTTGGTAATTGTAATGTACTTTGTTGTTCACATTCTTACTACCAAAGAGGTATTGTCGAAACGAAAGAATATATATCTTGTGTTCATGGTTTTAGAAACTTACCACCTTCCGGAGGAGGACCGTAACCATAACCAGGATGCGGAGGTTGCGGAGGGTATGCAGCATTCTTCGCGATATTACGCCCCAAAGACGTGATTGCATCCCCTGTTGTAGCAATCATTTTGCCTTTCGAGGAAACAAGGTAACCACTTCCTTTGATAAGCTGACCTTTCAAAGCAATCACACCGCCACTTATGGCTTTTACCGCTTGCATTAATGTGCTAACGATCGCCTTTTTGAAGTCCCAAACGTCGAACGCCTTATCGCCGTACTATCATAGAAAAATTCAATTAACCAAAACACGCGCGTGCAAATCAATCGAAATGCGATTTTAATCTATACTTTATTGAATATTATGAATTGCTCCATACAGCATTGATTATTATAATATAAAGAATACTTATATCTTAGATGTAATTATGTGCCATTTGTGTCTCCTTTTGTTACGTAGCTGGATTTTTAGTTAATACATAGCGGCCTTAGCCATCTTATTCGATATTATTATTTTTTTTATTATTGTTGTTTTAGCGTTGAACAAGGTTCAGACAGCAGCAGGTTCGAACCATGATAATGTTATATCACGATCAACCTATTTCACTCGATGTTAAATGACTCCGGTATCGTGATTGCACGAATGAAATTATAAATTTCTATACGGTCACGTATTGGTGAACTGGATAATCGCGACATTATGTTACGGTCGTTTGGAAAATCTATACCACTGAACTACTTTGACTGGATCTTACTGGAAAATGATTTCGTCGCCCAAAGCGACACCGTCGTTGACGTTTTTTGTTTCTTTTATTATTTATTTATTTTTTTTCAATTGTGAAATCCTTACTGCAAAAATGTTTAAATAGAGGGGCGCTCCGTGACGAGAACCAGCTAAGATTTCCCTCCTTAATTGCAACCTCGATGACCCACATAATGGTTTTCTTTCGTGCGGTTAATATTGATATATACATGTATGTATATGTATATATATATCATTTGTACTACGATCCTACATACGCTACTCTATTCTAATCATCATTTTCTACTAAAAGTAAAATAGATATCGTTCAATTTAATTTCGCGAGTTCGTATAGATTAATCGCGGGAACTTCTGACATTTCTGAAAAAAATTTAATCGCAATGCTCTAATGATATCCGATTCACGTTTCGACACCCGGATGGCATAAAACGTTCGTAACACACGCGTTAAAATCTAATATTATATTAATTTTCGTTTCCACGAAATGACTTTCACTCGCAGAATGTTGCGTAAAATTTTCTAAAGATGAAAATACCGATCTTATTTGTAAAACGGCACCAGCATTCCCGATGGTCGTTCGTTTTCACGCGGTCTGACTTTCGCTAACGCGTTAAATTAATACATTCGAAACTATTTGATAACACTAGCTTTTGTCTGCTCCCATGCAACAAGAAGTTCCCAGTATAGAACAACGCCTTTCGCCAAAAAAAATGTCAAAAATCTCTCGCTACTTGTTACAGTTTTCCTCAAACTTCGTCGTCCCGCGGACTCCCTCTACAAAGGAAAGCTTTTGTTTGTTCTTATATGCTTTATTTGAAATTTCTCATACATCGTTTTACTCGTGTGCACAATCTTTGGATTCATTTAATACTACGCAATAATAAATTACAAAGTCCTTGTTACTCGACGTTCAAGCAAAACTATCACGCTGCAAACAAAAAGTAAAATAAACTTTGTAATAATAACAATCTTAGGTTTTGGTTCCGTCGTTAAAGCTCCATAGAAATTACTTTTGTTTCGCGAACCCGTGGATCCGCGGGTCGCAGTTTGAGAAACACTGACCTATTCTAGAAATCAGATCGAATCGTGCGATCCGATCGAGAGCCCGCTGTTGTCGCACGTAAAGTAGCTTGCTGAAGCTTGCTCAAAATTACATAGTTACCGAATAAACTTGTCCATATTCTGGCTTGTTCTGGTTACCCGAAGAAGTCGAGCTCGATGAGGAACTCGCGTCCGAAGCACTCGAAGCTGAGATCGAGGACGAACCTTTCGATGCACTGCCCGATGCACTGACGATACCGCCGATTATACCTTTGGCTATCCCGCCTATCAAGCTCCCGGATCCCTTTATAATCCCTCCGGAATCGGAGCCAGACGACTGCGGGTAGCCACCGTAGGGTGGATACTCGCCGCCGCCAGGATGCTCCTCCGGGCCGTATCCTCCGTATTCTTCGGGCGGTTGTCCCTCGTCAGGCAGCCTCTCGTATCCCTCGTATCCGTATCCGTCGCGTTTCACCCCGTAACTTCCCTTATTACCGGATCTCTTTCGCCTCTCTTGCAGCAACGCCATGTACTTGGGGTTCGCGAGCAGCTCGACCACCGCCTGATCACCGCCCATCCGCCTCGCGATGTCCTTCTGCAAGTTCTCGGGCAGGATCTGATAGATCTCGAAGGCCATTTGTCGATCCTCGAGCACCGTCCCGGGATCCTTTGCCGCGCCCTCGAGAAATTGCCACTGCTCGTCGGACGACCCTTGAACCGACGACGAGGACCTCCTGTACGGCGCCAGTCGTTCCAATTGCGCCGATGCCCGTGCCAGCAGCTCTTGCTGGCCCGATTCCGTGCTCTCTGACAGGACCACGATGATCGAGCAGCACCCGAGCGCAAACAGTTGAGGCAACTGAAACGTATCGATATGCCGGTCAGGGTCGTTCCACGTTAAATCGATCACTCTCGCGGTCAGGGATCTCGTTGAAATTTACGTGTCGGGGTAGACCAGGTGAAATTTCGGAGGGTTTAAGTCATCGTTTCAACGGTTTCGAATTTATTCGAGGGTTACGGGGCGTTGAATTTACCGATTTTTGTTGGAAATGGAACGTAGTGTTTGATACTTTCTTGGGTCATGTAAATCATTTATTCTAGTTTTACTGGATCAATGTAGAAGCATTCGGTTTGCTAAATACGATAAATTGATGACTCTATCGTACGCGTTAAGAGAATATTAGTAAGATAAGATAAGCATTTTTATCGTTCCAAGACACCTCGCCAAGATAAATGATTTGTCTGTTATTTTAATCATCTCGTATACACGAAATATGTAAGAAGAAGAAACAGTCTCAGAGGAAATTAAAGAAAAGTTTAACGATGGTTCGATGAATGTAACGAGTAATTGATTCGCTATTCTAGACTTGATTCGAGCTGTCGTTTGGAACTTGATAGTTTTCTTTAGAAACTCGTTAAGTTATTATCGAAACAAGCTCGATAGTTTAGTGCGTTTCCGCGGTAATTTCACCGTCCCGAAGAGAATTTTATGCGGCGTAATTGCACGACGACGAACGACCCATGGTATTTGCGCATGGACAAATTAGCGACGACAAAATGTTGCGACATATCCGTGAATTTATAAATCGTTCGAGCGTAGAGCGTAGGAACGTGAGTGCAGCAAGTGGAGCGGTTCTTGGAGAAAGTAACACGAGGACGCGAGGCGTAGGGTTCCGCTTTAGAAGACGTTCGTGTGTGTGACCGCAACAAACGGTGATCTTGACAGAAAATTGCTGGCTTCACGAGTCCTATCGAAAGAAAAGTAAAAGAAGAAATTGACGACGACCGCCGGTCAAAACGATGCAAAACATCCTTACGTCGAAAGTCGCCGATAATTACCTTTTATAAATGAAATTACAATTGCGTTTGAGACTTCTTCGTGCACATTGCGAATCGTTATCTTGCGTTTGGGTCTTTCGTAGAAATTTTTTTGATTTAAAGAAATATTTAAAAAAGATAGAATTTACTTTAAACGCCATCGTGAGCGCGTGTTAAATATATTTTTAAAAAAGTGAATCTAGAGTCGTTTTTAAATCTAGCCACGATATGTATAACGGATTAGTTGATTCAATTAAGACTGTGTGTTATGAACAGAACCAGATATCTTGAGAAATTCCAATTATTCGAAAAATTTCTCGTTCGTTTACTTTTATAATGCAGAAACTGGTTCTTCTTCTGTACACTGAAAGTGCAAATAATTCAGACCTGTTCCTCTGTACCAGTGGTGCATAATCCTTGCATAAAGTTTCTCTCGCTTGCCAAATAATCTTACAGACGAATACAAAAATCTGTTCAAAAAGAACGAAGCTTGAGGTAACTGTAAAATTTAAATTTCAACTCTTATTCTAATATTTAATATAGTTTTGTTAGTACGTCCAGCAGTATTTGCATTTAAGTGGACTAGTATTTCGATTAGAAGTGAAAACAAAACCAGGTACTAATCGAAAGAGTATTGTTATGCAATTTACTGCACTCTTAATAAGGTCAGAATAGCTTGTATCTATGAACCACTGTTTCAATAGAAAACCGACTGCCTTAAAAAACTAAAATTTGACATTATTTTGTTCTCTCTTGCCAGGCTCGATAACTGAAAAGGTTGTGCATCACTGCTCTATACAATCACTTCAGAGATTAAATAGAAATCTGAATATCCACGCGAGAAACCTGTTTAATTGCAAAGGGAAAATACATTTGTCCTCCTCCTGTACTAAATTTATTCACATTTAAGTGAATATCCTCTACGATCGATTTACTTTTAATCGTTTCTTCGTAAATACGAGATAAATAACTGATATCGAATTATTCCATTAGATTGCAAGGGAAATAAATAAGGAAATTTGTAACACATTCCAGTGCAGATGATCGTGAACTGGTGCATTGGAAATTAGAGCCCCCTTTTACACCAGCGCACGAATCCGCCCGAGTTTTATTATTTCCGCGTTTTTGGGTTAATCGGTTCGCGAAAAGGGAGTTTCCTCGGTCGGACGAAAGTGATCAAAGCGTCCTTGGTCTTGGACTTGATAGAGTCAACGTTCGACCCAGTTACCATACTCTCCTACACGAAGCATTGAAACCTGTACGCTCGCCGCGATTTCTAAAAAACATCAAGCAAGCCGGCACACGGTAGAAACATCACCACGAGCAGAAATCGCCTGATCCTTTCGAAAGGAAGGTATACTATCGTTTCGTCCAAAGTACGGCCGGATCGCGAAGATCACTTCCGGATCGGTCCAAATTGATGACTTTCGCCGCCGAATCAACTTTCTTTGCCGCTTAACGCGCTCGTTGGACCTTTTGAATCTCGCTTCATTTAAATTTATTCAAATTAATATCGACTTTCACGGAAATTGCCGTATATTTCATCGATGAAATTACGAAAGAACGAGGATGCGCTCCGTTCGTCTTTGCAAATCGACTTTCGTACGAGACGGAATATTTTAATAAAGATCTACTCAAGAGACTATCATCTCATTATAATATACATTTTTTCATATTATTTAGAAACAGCAAAAGCTATAGAAGGGACTGAAATTCATCCACGGAGAAAAGAGATGATCTTGAGAATTAAAAACTATAACGAAGGGAGTATAATTTATGGCTCGTTAGCGACAGTGATCCTTGGCGAAGATCAAGGAGAACCAAAGCGCGAATTTCTCCATTGTCACGCCTACGAGGGATTATAAACGCGTTTTGCTTTCACGCGAGTGATAAGATCTCGATGAGACCGCAAAAAAACGGACCACAGAAAGTATCAAAAGCTAAACCTCTGTCGATTCTCGTGTTGGAAAGAAATTGTGAACTTGTCGGGCAAGGGGAAGCAAGAAAAATCTCGAATTCCGATTCCCGCGGGCGGGAATTTGAAAGTCGCCTGTCCCGTGCTCGATGGAGAAAATTTCGGGTAAATTGGCACTTGACACGTGAACCGTGAGTAATTTCTTCGCACAATGATCTTGGGACGCGTACCTTCATGGTAGACTTTCACGGTAGATCGGTAAAAGGATCACGGCACTCTCACTGAACTCACTGGCCATCGCCATCGAGTATTTCCTCTCTTTATACCGACTCCCACCTTTTTAGTGTCGCGAGTGAACGTTGCCCACCTCGTCATTGTTTATTTCCAAAATCCTTCGTTTCTAAACTTCGAAGAATCAAAACTGAGCCTTCTTTCGTCCTGCATCCCACGATTAGAAAACTAAATTCAGCTGTTCCGGTCGAAATCATTTTAATGGAATATCGGTACTGGGTATTCGCGATAATAAAAACGATGATATTCTGACTTTAATTAACTTATTTCTCAAATTAGACATTGGAAACATCAATAATGAATTATCAGATCGACTTCTCTTTTTTAATAATTATTCAAATACTTGACAAACGAATTGATACGAAAATATCTAAGGAAAAAACATTGAGAATATAAAATTTCTTGTAATTATCACACGTAATAGTAATTTTAATATTCCCGTGTTTCCAGGAGCAGATCCATACCAAATGGCCAAAACGTTGGAGGAATAAAAGGTTTCGATACAGAATGTTCCTTTTAGTACCAATAAAGGAAACAGTGTTATACTTTCGTTTAATGAAAAACAGAGAAAACCAGCGTAAAAATATGCGTTTTACAGTAGAAGACTCGCTTATGTAAGCTGATATGGTCATCTCCATTTTATCTAAAGCTCTGTGAATCGTTGACGTAGCGTTTAAAATTTCCGTGTGGCCTAATATTTCATCGAGTTCGACACACGTCTTGTACAATTGCCAATCGTGTTGTCGGCTTGCTTTCTTCGATTGCACTCCCAGTTATAAGTAGGCACACAACGCGACTGAAATTCCCGATGCAACGCGTTCACGTGCAGTCCGCGTTATATGTACTAAAATACACTTCCTCGTGAAGAAGAGAGAAAAGAACAAAGAGGCGCCGTCTTTTTAGCCAAGTTCTTAAGTCGAAGCACGCTAATGAAAGCGACCCGGTGAAATGCAGACACATCCTACGGAATAACGAACAGCTGGGTTTTGCTCGATTCTCATCGAGCAACTCCATCGTTTTCATATTTTCCCTTAACGACATAATGAACGAAGACACGAATGATATACCGACATCGACGTTCAAATAGAAACTAGACAATATTGTTCGACATCGACGCCCAAAAGTACCGTAAATCTCTCCAAGATTTGTGTGAAAGATTCTTTTAGAATTTTTAAAATATATCTTAAAATATATTTGCTATAAAAGGAATTACAATACTTTCCTTAGTAGTTTAAGTTTAAAATTCTTCTGCGGTATAATATACTCGTTAAAATGTAGAAATTTTATATTCCCTATGTACCGAGTAGAAAGCGAGCAAGTCCAACGAATTCTACTATTATTTAAATCCTGACTATCCACGATGAATGGATACTCTTACGTATGTACAACATGAAAGTCATATTTATGTTCTATGAGCTGGCAAGGTGATTACACCGAACTGTACAACGTACTCCGCGTATAATACGTTCTCACGAATTCGATGCTCGTTTCCTAACTACCCTCGTGTTTAATTTTGCTATTATACCGTATCCTGCTATTCATCGTCTCTGTTATCGTTACTCTTGCGTAAGACGTAACGAGAAATTACTATTCCGACAAAATATATACACAAATACATGTTACATGGTACTCGAAATCTTTTAGCAGTAGTATATGCGTCGCGTACGATTAATAATCATTTTAATCGTTAGAGTTGTAAGCCTTTAAGAATTTGTCGCCTTGGAATTCGATGTGACAGCAACAGCTGGCTGGAAATCGAAAAGATTCACGATTTATCGAACCATCCGTCGACACTGCCACAAGTTGACGATAAATATATTTTTGTCTGCATCTCGTCACGTAGCCTTCCGCGAAACCCTCGATCAGTTTGCACGGTTTGTCCACTTTCCTAGAAAATAACAAGTTTCGTTTAAACTTGACTTACACTAACGCAGAAGGTATAATGTTCGCACGCTGCGCCCACGTGATCCATAAAGAAAAAACTGTGCATGAGATTACATAGTTTGTTGCACATTAAATACTGTAATGATGCTTACAAACATGTTTCGATGCGTACGCTTTGCGTCAAGTTTTCGTGATTCACGATATACTTCCATTCGTGTGATTTAGTTATGCCCGATTTAGGAAACACAACTTGTACCTAAAACAATAGAGGATGTAATGTATAACTTTGCATTAAAACTATGTGATTCCATTCGAGAAAAATTCCTAATTGTTGTAAATAATTGCATATTTCTTGCGATATAACGTGACTTACTGTGGACACACAAAGCGGATCTTCTTCTAGCTCGTCTTCCTGCCGTGAAGATACGTCTAGCTGTTCGTCAAGCACGAACTCAGAATTATATCAAATTATTATTGGGAAGTATTACGTCTTTCGGAAATAATAGTGGCGGTGAAACATATTTAAGATGATTAAAAATTACAGCAGAGTTAAAAATTAATTCAACTTCACTGGCAAGACGCAAGTTATGCCTAGTTAACTATTCGTAACGCTTTATAATTCTATTAGCATACTTCACGCGAGCATGATTCTGGTAATACGTGACGTTTACCGGAAATAATGTTTTTTTTGTCAAATTTCCGGCATTTTATATAAATATAAAGAAACGAAGAAGATAGTAAATCTGCTCCGGAATTATATAGAAAGTTGTTAATTTCTTCTATAGATACGTTTTAGATAATATTCTTTAAAGGATGTTTTTCGGTATAAAAATTAAACAACAAACCTCGTCTCGATTCATATAAAAGTGAAGGTAAGGATTTTTCTGCAAAGCATTTCTCACTAGCTCTGCTGGATAATACGGGACAACTTCGCAAAAAGTCCTATCCTTGCAACTCGGAACTCTATCGAGATCTGTAAAGTGTATTTATTTGCGAGAAAAATTTAATTTGATCGAAAGTACTTAGAATTGAAATGGAATATATGTTCCTATTGGAAAACGATATTATATTCGTGGAAACAAATTTAGCAGTACCTCGACGTAATCTCTCGGATGGCTTAAACGTCTGCAAAGTAGTATTAGATTGTTGAGGATGGCCACATACTTCGAACACCAACTATAAAGATTTATTCTAACATTAGAATCCATGAAATAATTAATTGTACCTAGAATATTCAGCTAACAATACTCGTGTAATTGAAGGTACTAAAAAATTTACAGTTTTTTAACATCATCGTTCATGTTTAAATTTTCATTTCCTAATAAGTCCAAAATGACATGACTTAGATAGAAATCAGAACGATAAACCTCGACGTCTAATCTTATCTCTAAATTCCGTGAATACTTAGTTTATTAAATATATATAATACTTAGTTCATTAAAATTTCGTAATCGCTTTGCATATTATTAACAACACCGTCTCGGAGAAGAAAAATTTAATTGTTTCGATCTAAATTAATTATAGCAACTATCTCACCAGTAATAACATTCCTCCTTCCAGTAATCCTCTCGTGTTTTTCTTTAGCATCGTCACAATCGCGGTCAATGGAAATTTAATTTTTATTGCTATCTCCTTTTTTAACTAACTATTGTTGGCATATTGCGAAAAATCATTCGCATCGAAGGTAAAGTGCATAAAAAAGCTATTGTAAAAAGTAGAGTCACGTTGTTATTTTAGAGGTAATCGTTGGCGATCGAGTTCGTTTGCTTTAATAATTAGACTACTTATCCGAAGTTCGTACTTGGCAATATGATTTACTAAATTCCTAGAGACACAGTTATAGGATCACTTTCGTGGCTTTTCGACGACTGATCTCGTCTCCGTAGCTTTATATCAACAACCACGAGGTAAATGAGATTACGCCGATTCGTTTACTACTATCGCTTTAAACGTTTTCCCGATTCCTTTCATTGATTTTGATCGATTAACCCTTGCCTCGTTTACTTCGAAATCGTTCTTCCTATATTTATTGGACATTCTCTTCATAGTCCCCTAGTTTAAATTTGATCTCTTTCAATAATTCCAAATTATATAATATCTTGAACGATCTAATACAATTTTTATAATTTAGTTTGAACTATTATTAAATTTTCTTTGCACTGTAATAAATAAGTTGATAATTCGAGCATAGGGTAATAAAAGTTACAAGTATTTCTTGTTAACGAGAGCTTAATCTCAATGACCGTGCATGTGCAGCTAAATACGAAGGCGGATTATTAAAAACATATTAATCAATAACGGTGATTCTTTTCTTCACTTGTAATAGGAAAAAGAGAATCGAATTACTTTTTATTTTTAATTAGATTTAAGTAGATTTTTCACCTTATGGACTTTCGCGGCCCAATCTGACTGCCATACCGACCTGAAAATTGGAATATGATTTTAGCGGCCTCTTCTCATGGATGCCGGTCAGTTGAGAAACTATTCACTAAATTAGCATTGATAGGAAACGGCTGTAGTATTGCGTAAATACATGTGAGTTGACCATAGAGGGGATTAAAATTCATTTCTGAATCTGTTGGTAATGTTGTGAATGACACGAAAATGGTAATGGGCTAACCAGACACCTGCCCTGCCTAACTAATATAAATCCAAATTCGTTTATTATATCAAGAAACAATTCTAAATTCACAGCCATTAGCTCGATGTTACCCACGATAGAAAACTTATTTATTGTGGGTAACATCGATTACCAGGTCTCACCACGTGGAGGTTGCTGCGAGTGGAGACCCGAAGGGAGATAGATGGAATCAAAGTTCCATCGATCTCTCTTTTAGCTAAGCTTAGCTAGATTGCACCAAGTAATTATTTCGTTTAAAAAGGGGTGAAGCTAAATTATGGGATACGCGACGCGACGCGATGCTGAACCGTGCAGCAGATCTTCGGATCGAATCAACACTGCCCTTGGTAGATCGATTTCTATTTCTAGCAATCGATCTATCATTGGTAGGCGACTAGATCTTTCGGACAAACTGGACGGCCGATCACATGTCTCGATCGATGAAACAGCAGTGATCGAAGCGAAAAACGAGAGAACGAGTCGAGAGAAGCTACTTGTTAAATAATTACTTGGCTAAAATTAACGTCGAAGCTCGAGTCTAGTTAAGTAGAAACTAAAATTCGGACGATAGAAGGAAACAAAGTTCCTTGGATATTCTCATTTAGTTGTACCAAGCAATTATTTGGTTACAAAGAGGGACGAAGTTAATTTGAGGGACGCGACGCGACGCGACGCGACGCTGAACCGTGCAGCGGATCCGAGGATCGAACCTACTGCCCTTGCTAACTAGATCTCTACAGGATAACGGACGGCTGCGACTCCGAATCTAAGGTCTCCATTGCTCCAACGCAACCCGCCGGGAGCCCGAAGGACCCGACTCAAGTTGTCTGACAAAGAGAGAGTACCTCTGTTTCAGTGTCGACTTCCGCTGGAAGGTATGCGTTTCCGCAGGATACGGAAACTCCACACCTTCCAGCAGAGTACCATTTTCCCTGGATCGAGCTACCAAGGGAAGGCGGTTAGATCTGTCGGGCCAGCTACACGGCCGATCACATGTCTCAATCGATGAAACAGCGGTGACCGAAGCTAGGAACGAGGGAACGAGCGAGAGACACAATCTACTTATTGAATAATTGCTTGGTAGGACGCGGAAATACGTATAATAAAGAAGGCTTCGACGTTAATTTTAATACTCGCGACGAAGCTTGAGACTAATCAACTTGCAATTAAAAGTCCCTCGGCGGTTGAAGCATTCTCCCTCGATGTCCTTGCGATTAATCCAAATTGAAACTGAAATCAAAACTAATATTTATATTAGTGAGATATGGTAGTAAATTGAATAAACACTTAAAAATGATCTATCACCTAGCTAAAGGGAATTGACCAGAATATATTAGCAAAATGTGACAAAAATTTAAGCTGAGACGTAAAAATAAAAATCCTATATCATTCAGTGTCATCAGGACAAATATGATATATGCATCGACACAATGTTATTCGTATCCGAACGAACATTCTTATATTGATCAGAGTCTTCGAAACAAATATGATATGAAAACGAACATTCGTAACAATGAAAGGAACCGAGATCGAGACACCAAGTTGAATCAACACCAAACAATCAAACGAAGTACCTCTCAAAGTACCCAACCAAACCACTCAACCAAAGTACCACCGTAGAATATTACGAGAATTCGAGCAAGAACTTGTATAGAAACAAGTATAGTATCTGATTGAAAACAATACTACATTATTATATCCTGCAATATTATACATATCAAAGCAATAACATAAATTCGACAAACAATGTAAAAGTAGAAACAGAGAAAAGGAACATTCATAGTAACCAAATAAAATCAGATAGATAAATAAAGTTGAATTCACATACAAACAAAGAAATAAAAATAATAAAATACAAATATGTGGAGTGGACTTACTACTTGTTGTCATTATATAGGGTAGTTACCACTGGGCCAGCTGTAAAATAAGAAAATATTCATATTATAGCAACGTCGGTTAGGCAAGCAAGGCAAAATCAGTTCATTGAAGCGAAATTGGTATCAAACGGTAGAATAAAAGAGGGGAGAGAATTTTTAAACAGTTCTTACCGTAGTCATCACCGTCCGGCACTGGTCAGTAGTGGTCAGCAGTGGTCAGTAGTGGTCAATAGTGGCAGGAGCGCTAGCCGCAACTGGTCAGTAGTGGTCAGTATTGGTCAGCAGTGGTCAGTACTGGTCAGTAGTGGTCAGCCAGTGGTCAGCTCCGGCCAGTAGTGGTCATCAGCAGTCATCAGCGGTCCCCGGTTCAGTTCTGGCTATTTGCCCACTCCCGAATTCGCGACGCGACTGAATAACTCTTCGCAGTGACCCTGCTTATATGTCTAAGCTGGCGAAAGAGTGGGGAGACCAGTCAGAGCCAAAGTTGAAGTTAACAGGTAAGACTGTCTTATCTACAAAGAAACTATTTCAATTGGTCCTACCTCTTGACCATTTCTGGATCTTCACTGGACCGCTGACCTTGATGTCAACCTCGCTGTTGACCACCAGTGACCATAAGCTAGTCATTGTTGATCATCGACCTATTAAAACCATTACGAAGATTAAAGCCTTCTTACGAGGATACATTTACAATTTGATGTATGATCTTTTTAACATTTTGTTCCACTTTGGAAGAGTATCTCGTTTACACGTGTACTACTCGCTTAAGAATTTGTTCGCGACATGTCACTCTCGAGGATCAGGAGTAATGGTCGCTAAATCGAGTAGTTTTGATTTTGCGCGCCTCGTCAGCGCTCCACGGACACCAACTCACCTCCATTTTTCCCTAAACCGCGAACTCGGGACGCCACAATTAAATACGCTTAACAAACAATATACGCCACACTTAGATTTTCACCTTAACACAAGTTCCTACTAACTTGTTTTAAGACAAAAACTAACAAATTGGCTGTTTATAGGGTATTATACTTAAGTATAAGTATTTAAACCAGTTCAAATAGAATGCGATTTAAATTAGTACATCTACTTACTCTTTGATTGTCAGTTAACTGTCATGGCGGTGGATCGACAGCAATTCGAGAATTCAGTACGTTAAGTCGATATATCGTATGTATCGAATATATCGAAACTGGCTATCGATGCGACCCATGCAACGCTGTTCGCTCGTACTTCGTACTGCTTGTAACTCTCGTAGGTATTACAGAGTGCAGATTTTGTCCTTAAATATCAGCAAGTGGACGAACAATGTCGGAACAGTAAGTGATTTGTCGTCTTCTGTTATGTGTAACGAATATATTTCTATAATTCTGATGTTCAACGTAATCGCGTATTTAATATTATAATGCGTTTCTTATTCTTTTTGGAAAATAAGCCTTAATCGTCGTAATGAGAATTGAGGTTAGAGTTACCATCGTTTCTGTGAATGACGTACTTTGTGTTTTATGAAGCGTCAGTCATTGAATTCTTTCTTTCCTTAGTTTATTTATTTCTTATAATTATTTTTTGCAAAATATCAATAAAATTCGTTAAATCTAAAAGTATCCTTTCGTGTACGTGTTGGTAATTATATCAATAATGTTTGAAGTAGAAATTTTTTTATACAATGTTTTAATAATTTAATTTGCTTGTACAAATGAACTAATATATAGATATAAATGTCCAGCTTTCAGCTATTAGAAATAAAATTTTTAGTAAAATCACAAAGTCGTTATAAATAAATTAACAATTATTTGTTTAGCGATGATACTTTATTGGATGAAGATCTTGGAGATGAAGAGTATGATCTGGGCAATGACGAGGAAGAAGCTCTTTTAGCAGATGATTATGAACTAGAGAGGGTGAGCATATTGCTGGACCATTATTTTGTTATTAAATGAGAATTAGCATAACACTGTATGCCATAAAACTCAGTACTGTATTATTTTATGTTAGAATTTAATAATAAATTTGTTAAAAATTTCAATTCAGATTGAAAAGTCAAATATTATTTAATCCATTTATGGGTATAGAATTATGTATGACCGACATTATTGTTATTGCATTAATTATGTTATAAACTTTTCTTTTAAATTCAATAAAAAGACAATGAATTGTTTGACATAAATGGATTAAATTCAGTATAATTTGTATTCATGTTCTCTATATGTAATATATTTCAGTGTGCAAGGTGGTACTTCAACAATATCGTTTCTATTTGTTTATTTCTATTTGGTTTTATATTGTGTGTTATAGGTATAATCATTAAATCTAAAATCACAACTTCATATACCGGAGAATGATGTTGTTATTAATGCATTAATTTACAATATTAGTAACGATAAAAAGTATTATATCGATTATTTATATTAGTTTGCAAAGATATATTATGTTTACAAACTCTATAATTTTTCAAGATGACAAGTCTTTTAGTGACTTTGTAAGCTTGTGTGTTATATGTTTGTTATAATAGATGATTTATAAAATTGAAGGTCAAATGTGTGATAATCGATAAACAATATTGTGTAGGCGAAATATTTATGTTGTACAGAAGTATTGAACTTTGATTTATAAAATTTGTTGTGAAAGTTATTAAGATTACTATGACAGACGAGGTATAAGAAACATTGTGAAAATTAGATATGAAGTGTATAGAATAAGGAATAACATACAATTGATTAAAATGGCTGCAGGGAAAACGAAAGATAAGCAATTATGAATTGTATCTTTTATCCGGTTTACCTTGTTTTATCATTTGTCATTTTCATTATGTAACAAATATAAACATAGTACTTATATAAATTATAGATAAATATAGTACATCTTGGTAAGTACATATTAATTGTTTCTTCATTTATTTTGAATCTTTTACATACATATGGTAGTATTGAGAGTCTTATATATCACTAGATATGTATTAGAAATTTTGGTTCTATTAGATTTCCTGATTGATTACATTACTTAAAACTATTTGAATAAATGTTTCGATGCACATTTCCTTTTCCCTGCCTTTTACAAAGGATATTGTAATTATTACACATTGTAAGCAGACACAACAATAATTATAGTTGATTCATTAATATTACACAATTTTGTTAAAGTGTCATTTATATTATTTCAACAAATTATAATCAAAAGTGTTATTGAATTCTGTGATTTTCAATGGATTTGAATATCACAATTGTTTCGAATACTGTGCCCAAGTATAACAATTTTTATCATGAAAATGTTTTAATGAAAGTTTCTACATATAAAACAGATGTAAATAGTTTGTAGAATTTTGCAGATTAATTTTTGGATACCTACTGTTACATTGTGATGTACATTGAAATAATCGTGTTAATTTCCAGTTTACAGCAATCATATTCTGTCTATTCTTTGTGAAACTAAATTTGATTATAAAATAATTATTTTGCAAAGGTCACGGTGAAATAAAAATAAGAAGTTTGTTGGATAAAAATATGTGTAAACACAGTTTTTGCAAAAATATTCATATATTATGAATACTTTCATTAAAACGTTTGCCTGCTATGTAAAAGTATGTCAAATTCATCTGTAACTGGTATTGTAAGAAAAATTAATGTTTATACTTTCAAAGAGAATTGTAACAATTTTCTTAGTATTTAAGATCGTGTATCTATTCTCATTTCCATAAAAAACAGCAGTATGAAATATTTCAAAACTTTTTTTACCTTTAGATTTGTATGTATAAAATAAAAAATTATAAAAGTAAAATGGTTTCAGTTGTATAACTAATGTGTAAATGTAATGCATCACATGGTACTGTTATATCTCATGCTGTTGTAATTGGAAGTTGTAATATATTGTACAATATGTTTATAATGATTCTAATCATTGCTAAGTATAAGTTATACTGTCATTTAAAAGCTGTTCATTCATAAAACAGTACTCCATCGTTCTAATTAAGTATTCATCATACCGCATAGTACTTCACAAATGATTAATTACTTATGCATATCTGCATTTTATATTCAGTTGCATGAACTATAAATCTCATTTACAAATTTTGTTATTAGATTTAGCGAATGATAATTGAGAAAATTGCAAAAGAAAACGTAAGATAATAGAATATGAAATTTTACTATTGCGTTATCGAAAGTCATAAAATATCTTCGTTTTATTCGCAAAGAAGTCATTTCTTATACATTTATATACATATACACGCCTCCTTACCTACCAGCCAATATGTTAATTAAGAGTAGATTGTAACGACTACGGCTAAATATCATATTTTCATTACAAATATTTGGCAATTTAATTCCCTGAGCAGCAGAATAGCTATAAGGGAGAAGAGGAAACAGATGATGTACTGGACTTAGGAGTAACCGACGCACTCGACGACTTAGATGGTGAAGATGAAAATATAGAATTTAATAGGAGCAAGACCAATAGAAGTAATGACAATGATTTTTATGAAGATGGAGATCAGATAGAAGCTCAGACAAAATATTACGAGCAAGATGATATTAACGAATACAAAGGCGAACAAGCGTGTCAGCATGATGAACGTTCTGCAGGCGATAATATTAGTACATCTAGTAATATTGGCAAAGGAGATTTGCGAGAAAAGTTGCAGAAAAATGCAAAAATCTACACTGTGACTGGACAGGGATTGGAAGATGATGAATGCGAAGAGGCGAAGGAAAGGAGGAACAGATTTCAAAACGAGAGAACCATAGTTTCTCCAAAAATGAATAACAATATACCAGATACTTTGGAAAATGTTGTAACACCTGAACCGTCAAAATTGGCATCCAGAGGCCGAGGAAGAGGTCGAAGCTCAAGAGGAAGTCGTGGAGGAAGATTTAATACACAGAATTCCGGAAATTTTAATCCAAGGTACTTTAACGATTTTTTTTCTTTCTAGTTTTTGGAATGAAAGTCGGTTTACTGCAGGATTTTCTGTAACGTTCATAAAACATTATGTATCAGGTTCAGTAATGCACGCAACTTGAACTTCGATAATCAACCACCGGCATGCAGGCCACCGCTGCTCGAAGCCAGGCCACCGTTTCTTCTTGGAGTACCAAACAATGTACAAAATCAACAGATTATTTATCAACAACCAAATTCTCAAGTACAACCTTATCAGCATTATTCTCCGAATGGTTCACTCCAAGGTCCTACACACTTTATAGATAATAGACCACAATTCAATCCTAATCAATTTCAAGGTCAAGTGGGCCCTCGTGTAATTGGACCGAGGTTAGATTATGGACCTCGAGGGGGTTTGTCAGGATCATTACAAGGGCCGCCTTACAATCATCCGTCGAATCAGCCTCCATACGTACAAATGCAACCAGGTCCTTTTCAAAATTCAAGCGTGCTCATACAAGATAATCAAACACGTCTAATGCAGAGTAATCAAGGCCCCTTGTTGCAAGGCAATCTTGGAGGATCGCTGCTTGGAAATCTGAATCCATTGGTATCTGGATCATCGACGCCGTTGTTACAGGGAAATCAATCGTTGCCGTTGCAAGGATTTCCGCGACAACCTTCTTCCCAAGGGCCGTCCATTAATCATCCTAATGTACAAATACCGAATCAGTCGCTTTTTGAGAATAGACCATCTTTCCAAGAAACACAGTTCGAAAACCGACCCGTTTACGATTCGAGGTCTGGCTATTCCGATCAAGTACCTAACAGCCAATTTAATACTAATACGTTACCGGTACCGCAACAATCCACTTCAAATGTACCCAATGTACCTTTACCTCCAGGGCACAAGATTTTAATCAATCCTCATTTTCGAGGCGCTGTTCAATCCACGAACGATGGTAAGTATTTGACAAAGTTCTCCACTTGTTACTCTTATTCGACGAATAATGTAATAATTTTTTTAAAATTTGCCGATAAATTCTTTTTATTCGTTGTAAGCAGCAAGACTTGTATGGGATTCTGCACAACAGACACCTTTGTCGTCTCAAATTTCTACTAGTCAGTTTTCGCAACAAGTAACTTCCTATCAGAACCAAAGTTCATACAACCAAACCCAGCAAGGCTCATCGCATTACCCACAGAATTATCAACAAACCAAGAGCGATGTATGTATACTGAAACACTTCTTACGAAGATCTATGTGATGAATGTGGATTTTTTAATTGTGATGAATGTTGCGTAGGACCCTTACGCGTATTTTTCTGACGTCTGGCAAGAAAATAAGTCGCAAAAAAGTCAGAGTGGAACTCCGAGCAAGCACTATCCTACGGAAAGTAATTACTCGCGGGAGAGTACTTACGAATGTGGTTCTAAGTATAAGTCGGATCAATGGGATCAAAAAGACAGTTATCAAGAGGTGAATAAAGTACGAATAAATTTAACGAAATAGTGTAACGTTTTTTAAAAGAATTATACATTTATAATACTATGATATACTGCTCGTTAGGATCACAGAGGAGTTCATCAGACTTATCGCGATAGAGATTTGCTTTCCAAAGCCAGAAGCGATCATCTTCCGAAAAGTAGGCCACTCTCCACAAATGCATACCGTGAGAGTTACGATCAAAATCATGCACAGAAATCTCCTAATAACAGACCTGTCAATACTTCGATAAGAGCTAGGTTACCACAAAAACGAGTCTCTGATCCAATAGATAGACCTCTGCGCGACCTGAGTCCAAAGCGAATGAAACCTAGCAATAGAAATCTTCAAGAAGTACGAACAGTAGACATATTAAACAGTGCGAACAGTGAAAAGAAGGTACGCTATTTTATACTTTATTTTCTTTTATTCTGTAAATGTTTTCGCGTATTATTTTATAAATGAAATATTGTAGGACGAAGAGAATGATCCGGAAATGCAAGAGTACAGGAAAAAGATGGAGGAACAGAAACGGCTTAGGGAAAAAATTTTGCGCGAAAAGGAGAATAGGCGAAAAATGGCTGCGATGGAGAAGCAGAATGAAGAAGCTAAAAACGATAATAATTTACGTATGTATATTATATCGCATATAATAATTACGTTAGAGACATTCGAAAAGATTGCCATGTTTATTTTTATCATAATACTCTATAGTCGTTATATAGGTGTTTAGATTTTACTTGAAAGATAATTATTTCCAGTAGAAGATTTTCCGTCAATTGTGAATTTTTTAATTGTATATCCACTAACCCAATGTATGAATGTTTTTTCCAGCCAGCGAAAGTACACATGATACAAAACCTGTGTCAGTATTGATGGGAGTTGTGAAGGATGTTGCCACGAACAAAAGTCATATCGGTATTGGCAGAGGACGTGGCCGCCCTATTAATACACAACCTACAGAGGTATAACATTAAAAATATCATATTTTTTTTCAAATATCAGTTATACACCAAAATTGAAATAGCTAGAATTTTGTTGTAACTTCATAAACTATTATGTAAGGCAAACAATCTTTGTCTCCACATGAATATGCTTTAGAAAATTATAATTTAATACACAAATAAAATGTGTACACTATACTCACATCCGTTAAAATTTAACTTGTCCATATTACATCAAAGTGGTGTTCACTGTTTAAGTATGTTATACATAAATATTGGTTTTTTTTATCAATTATGCACACGCATATATACATATCAAGTTATGAACAATTTTATATATGTATATGTATATAAACATACATGCATAAGAAAAATTATTGTTGCATCTAACAATTAAAAAATGTTCTTTATTTTCTCATTAATGAGAAATCATTGTTATATATTTATCACTACTAAAGTGGTAATACACAAATTACGAACGTAATATGAATATATAAATTATATACACCTCTATTAGATTTTACTGTATATTTTTTACTTGTGTTTCAATAAAATATATTTTTTAAATGTTTTTTGTTCTTTTTCATTTCCTCCAAATTTATTACATTGATGAAGCTATTTTGTGTTACAAATATGTTATTGATTATATTCAATCTAACGATAGTCTTGAAATAAATTGTTTTACTGGCCAACATTTAGTTCAATATGTCAATTGATATTAAAATATTAATGTTTTTCGTTACCGTCTAACATAAACAATATATTAATTCGGTAAACTTAAGTATTCTGATGATCATTTTTGTTTTAGGCTGCAGACAAACCGTCATGTGTGCGTATTGTTAGAACAATACAAACTGTACAGTCCAACGACTCTGTAGATTCGACGAAAGAAAGTAACTCTGGACGTATAATTGGCCAAGCCAGTGATAATGCAAAGATTTTAAACGTTCAGTCTGGCACACGAAGAATCGTCATTCATAAATCGTTGTCAAATACACAGAAGATTGCTACCAGTATACAGAAAACGGTATCGAACCTGCAAAAAGGGCAACTAGCGGCACAACATTTGACGCAAAGCGCAGCTCAGGCAACCGAACAGAGTCAATCAGACGCACTGAAAAAGTTAACTGTCATTGGACAGAAGTTTGGTGGTAATCCGCAAAGAATTGTTAAACAGAAGATGATAGGAAATCTGCAAAAGACTGTGATCAATGTACAAGAGGCAGTAAATGCTAATGCACAGAAGGTTATTGTCAATACGCAGAGTAACCAGAGAGTTGTACTCCAAAAAGCACCGACTCAGCAAAGAAAACTACCGGAAATTAAGACGAATACCGTGAAAGTGGAAAATTTAGCGGCAAGTACATCGGAGGCACAAATTAGACGTATGTGCCAAGGTATTGGAACAATCGAGGTGACTATTTTTGCATAACGGAGTAACTTTTCTTTTCCTTTTTGAAACTTGTATCTTCAGCGTTTACGTTTCTTCAAAGAACACAACATCGGTTTGTTTTCTGTTTACATTTTTTTATATTTTTATTTTTTTAATAAGCTTTTATTATTGTCTAAAATATATTTTATTTTTGCACTAATCATTTGATTTGATTTTTTTTTATATAATACTTTTCTGCCAAAACTTATCTAATTGTCAGGGGTGCGCGAGTACCTAATACAAACTATCAAATACCAATGCCACAGTATTATAAAAAATTTCAAAAGCCTAATTCTTACCAAAGTATAGAAATTTAATGACACGATGTATTTAATATGATTGATACTAAATTTAATGTGATTAATCTTAATGTCATATCACATTTTCTCTATACTTATTTTCTTACGATGAAAGAACGATTATGTTTATTGACTAAATACTGTATTGTTTTACCTTTATTAACGTACGCAACAATTATGTATTGCGATCAACGGTGCAATATGTCATATTATGCAAAAATTAATACAATGGAAAGGTACATAAAAATTTTCTTTTTCTAACGCATTATACACGGAAACTATATTTCTGTTGCTCGATTTATTGTTATGGTTCTACCAAGTTTCCGTAATAATTTTCTCGTACTGTTTTGTAATAAATAAACAATATATTTGTTAGTTTAATAATTATTTATTCGTGTTATTCGTGTTATAGAGCATACAAATGGGCGAGCGTAGCGCAACGATTGTGTTTAAGACGCAGTCCGCTGCCATGGTGTTTCACAAGAAATACCAGCGTAAAATGCTAGACCTTTCACTAATAACTGTTCGCCTTGTACCGCAGTCAAGTGGGACTAAGACGACGGCTACAGTTGTGAAAGTTTCTAAGGAAAATGCTAAGAGTATCTAATCTAGTATATTTCAACCAAAAAACAATACATAGTATATTCAAATTTGTGTTTAAAAATAACATATACTTGATTTAATTGAAGCAGCCTGCTTATATTTGAACGTGCATTTCATATTTTACATACTCCTCATTTAGAATATATAATAATGCGAAAATTAGAAGAAAAAAAAACACACACATATTTTTGGCTGCAAATGAATTGTATAATATACCTTTATAAACAAAGGTAAAATATCTCAACAATTTAATTTGTACATATGTCAAATGTAATGTATATTTCATATAGAAATATACCATAGTAGATCTAATAACATGCTGTGCATTTAAGAACTACATATTACTATGTAGAGCATATATATTAAGCTGGTGAATTTATAATTTTAAATGCGAAAACACAGACGTGTCATTAAATAAAATATAAATCACACTTACATTTGGTAGATTTATAGTATTTTAAATTCAAACCATCAAAGTTTAAAAGTGATTACATGTCTGTACAAAGAACGTGACTGCCAAAGACTATACAAGACTTTGTGCTATCGTCATACGATTCAATTTACATTTATATGTATTTGTGATATGTGTCATAACGTTATCTTAATCATTATATGTATGTACACTTTTTTAGACTTTTTGTATTTAATGTAATTTTAACATCACGTTCTTTCTAATCAAGATAAACGTAAGCACGAATATTAACCTTGAAAGTATAATGTATTAGAAAAGTTTTGCAATCTATTTGTTCATTAATATCGATCATTTCTTTATAAGAATGGATTGAACTCTCTTCACGTGTTTAGAAATACTGAAATAAAAATTTTGAAAAATTTGTCTAAATATTAAGTTTTCATGTATGCGAGTAAAGCAGTAACTAAATCAAATTTCGTTTCGCTTTGCTTGTCTGTAAAAACTTTTCTAATATTCTATATGAAAGGTGTATAACGGTCCTGTAGGTCGCATGCGGCTCGTCGAATAATTTAATGTGCCTTGTGGCCCCTATTTAAATAAAACAGAAGACCTCTGTTAATTCTAGCATGACTACCAACTTTAGAACGATATTGCACAGTGAACAAATATTTAAATTATCAACGAAACGAAGATCATCTTAGGAACAGATACCTGGTGATAGAAACAATATCCTGCAACACTTTGAAAAGGAAAGTAGTTAGCATTCTAGTCATAGTGAATATCGCATACGTTGATCGATGCGTTATATTCTATATCTATGTAAATTGTCCTTAAAACTTTAATTTGTCAGTTTGTAGTGTAGTGTTTAATATCTTGTATTATGAATAATTTATTTTAAAATGTAGGTAAACAGAACAGAAAGACTAGTTCTGAACGTGAACAGTTTGAAGAAGAATGGACAAGTATTCTTCTACTGAATTTAAAACTAAATTTGTATCTATGATATGTTGTGATCCAATTGTTGTGGCTAGTTAGTGGTGGGGTTTACGAATCGCTTCGCATTGCTTCGAATCTTATTTTGTGTTGCAACACAGATTCGAAGTAAGTCGAATATGATTCGATGTTAAGAAACTCTTGATCCTTTTGAAAATCTTGAAATTTTTCAGAATTTCAAGACTCTCAACACGATCAAGACAGATTCGATGTACATAATTCGATTTCTCAAACAGTAATAGGTATGTTTTCGTTCCAGTTATTCGGAGTATACTGTATATCAATTTTATCTTTTCTTAAAAGAATCAAATTTTTTAAACTGCGGCCTTCTTAACTACGACTACAGTTATTGCGTGAAATTTTCGTTGGTAGCTTGAATTTAGGACTGGCTTGATGTCCGCGGAGCGCTAAACTGCTCTGCTTACTGGTGCGTGGAAATTTTTAATCGAAAAATAAAGATTTGTTTGGTTTAATCACGGCGTCAATTTTATCTCAAGGTGTGTATCCTCGTATCGTTGCTTTAATGTGTATGATCGTATAATGTTTGTGTCTCGTTCTATTGCATAGCAAAACAACGCGACAATACGAAGATACGCAATATGCCACCACACACGGCCTTGGGCCGGTGTTGTTCGATCCCTTTGTGTTTTCCCTCCTCTTCCTGGTTCCCGAGGATGGAAACGGTGGGATGAAGGGTTGAAAACAGTTATAATAACGGAAATAAATATATGATTTGGCAAAAATGTAATTTATTTTGTGGGCCAAATATTATTGCCCTTTATATTTTGAACTATCGTTTGATAATATTGTAATCCAATTTGAAAAATTGTGTTTTAGCCAGCTTTTAAGCGTTTTTGCGCACTACACTGTAGCCTGGCGGGAGACGTTCACATTTCGAATGTGGTCGATTAGAGTGGAAGCAGAAGCGCGGGCGAGCTGGATTTAAATCTTCGTAAGTACGACTTAAACACTAATATAATGTATTAAATATAGTTTTTGAGAAAGTAACTGGTATGACTTTGGTTTCTGATTCTATTATTACATAATATTTTTATTGAACTTTGTGAGAATAGTACAGGTATTTCTTATAACAATCTAATCTTTGTCAATAAAAATAGTGATTTATTATGCACCATAGTCTTGAACAGCATTTATCAGTTTAATTCAAATGATACCATTTGTTATTGTACATTGAATTTGTATATAAATATGCATTTATATCAATATGTTTATAAGACTAATCTCCGTGGGTCGGTTTTTATAAACATTTAATGTAGGTAACACAAGTATTTGGCACATTGAACATTGATGATATACTATTATACACTAAGATCTACTGTAGTTTCTAAACGAACAGTCAGTGAGACCTTTCATGCTTGTGTAAGTACAAGTAGTCTTGTAGAATCCATATTTCATAATACTGTAATACAAATTGTAAATGCAATATAAATTTTAACGTTAAAATTATTGTTATACGAGTTAAGTAATGTCTACACAGAAGTACTAAAATAATTAACTAGAAAAATCGCTTAATATACAGGATTTTTCTAAAATTACGAAAATTATAAAATAAAATATGTTTACGAATTAATAAATTAAATTAGACTAATGTAGAGTTTTAGTATTGATCGCTTAAAAGATTAAGTAATTATAAATCATGATTATTTTCATGCTTCAACTGACTCAGAATATTTTTTAGGATCCAATAATGATAATGGTCTTAAAACATTGTTTCTTTGTTTCTCACACATTCTATTTGATAAAAATACATAATATCAAAATACGTTGTAAAATAATATCGCATCATTCTTATGTTTTAAATAATTTTAGGAAAGAGTTAAAACTATTAATGAGAGGTAAGTTGTCTTTTTAGAAGTACTGTATCTAGAGTCATTAGAAGTCTGAAGATATTCTTACACTGTAAATGAGCTATAATGCTGACAAAATGGTGCAATCATTTTCAAAAAGATACGACTTACGCTCGAAAGTTCCTACAGATTTAAAGTACAAAATTCTAGGGCGCGAAAACTTTGAGGATTCAGTTCGGTAAAAGATCGATAAATATATTCGAAAGATCTACAAAAGCTTGAAGAACAATAAACAGAATATCGTGTCTTTGCAATAATAAATAATTTATAATTGCCAGTCTCTTTTCTCGTAAGGTAATATACTGTTATTTGACACTTACATAAGCGTAAAAGGATCTCCTATGCTAAACGAATAAATTGTGTATCACATATAGAATCACAACACTGTTACAACTTGCATTTGCTGATACGTTAATTATGCATCAGATATAAAGAATTTTTGTTAAACATTTAATAATAGGGCACTTCAATCTTGAACTAGTATTAATACTACTAATTATTAATTGGTGCAGTAGATGTCAAGTAAAAATTTCTTATGAGTGATTTATTTACTACTATAATGTTCCTTTTATGTACAGATTTTAGAGTTTTTTTTTTCATTAAGAAATAGTAGTTATTTTCTTTTTAAGATTCATTATACTATTACAATATGAAAAGATTTTATTTCCGGCTTCAACACATTTTTTATAAGACCTTGGTAAAAAGAGCAGAAACCAAAATATTATCAAAATAATACTATTTGAAAAACTGATCTTCTAATTTGGATAATAGGAATACTTTTCGATCAAAATATATTCTTCGGAAGAACATTTTTCGTGTAAAGCTTTTTTAAAAATGTGATATATATATATATATATATATTTACTTATTTAGTTTTATATATAAGATGCTATTTAGAACACACGTTCTTGTTTGGAACAACGTACTCATCTATTGCTATATTCATTTAAATAACATTTTATTAGATTTGTTATTTTTATTTTGTCAATAAAATTATTATGTTATGATTCTATTATAATCTTTAAATGATTATAAATGTAAAAGAAAAATATTGTTACGTTTCCCGCGACTTTCGATTATTTCGACGAAAAGAAAAATCGTACTGTACTTGTTTCTTTTTGTTTCAAATATCGTCAGTGAATGAAATTCTATTATTCGACTCTGAGATATATATAAAAATATTAATAATCGTAAAAGAATATTACTAATATACTTTTACAAGTTTTTAAATATAAATGCAAGTAAGATATAAACATTTTAAAATATTTGCTTTGGCATTTCAATTCATTGATCCTCGTCTTAAAAATATATTGCTTCATATGTAAGGATTATTACCTCGTTTCACATGTACATTATAATTAGAGTATCCGCTTAGATACTGGTGCCGCGGACTTACTGATGATTGTTTAGTAATACTTGCCATTGCCCAACCCATTATCAGTTCTATACCTCTGCATATAGTTTGATACACAAACCAGGGCCACGGTATCGGATACTGTGTGATGGTTGGTCGTGTACCGTACTTCACAGTCTCAGCTAAAAGTCCTAAAAGTGTGAAAACAAAAGATGTCCTTTACTGATAATTTAACATTAAAACTATTCGTCTACAATAATTGCCGCTTAAACATGTAGTGCAGCCAGGTATTCGATTTCCAAGTTTCACACATCTATCCCATAACTTCGTATTGAAAAAAAAAAAAACCATAAACAGCACAATATAACATGCATTAACAATATATACTTAATAAACTTGAGCAATAATAACGTTGTATTCTATATTGAATTACCATATGGTCCAAAAATACGAGCAACGTCTGTGATACATAAAATAATTCCTAAAATTGCAGTTGCATACGTGACGTTCAATACTTTTCGGATCTGTGACCTTCTAACTGCTGCAGTGTTTGCTTCTAATATATGCAGAGGTGTGTCGGATTTGGTTCTATTTACGTATGCAATGTGATTCAATATTGAATGGAGTGTGAAGTCGCTACTCTGAAAGGAAACGTTTAGATATGCAACATAATGTAATAAAAATGCGTTAGAATAACAAAAATGTTAGAAATAAGCAAACAAAATCTATATTGAGTCGGAGAAAAAAAGTTCAGTTGAAAGTACCGTGATTTTTCCATCGGATACGGTATTTTCAGGAAGCAAATTAGTCTCGACGGTTATATCTTCGGTATCTTCTTTTTCCTTTTCGTTCTTCCAGGACAAATTTTTCTTGCGCCCTTTTCCGTCGTCGTCTTTATCTTTATTCTTCTCTGTCATCAATGCTGCCTTTTCGCTACAGTCAGGCTGATCTGAATCGGATTCGGATTTCTCCTGTATCTCGATCTTTTCGGGTACTATAGTGCGACCGTGAGTAGGACTTCTACTCAATGTTCTAATACTTATATCGCTACTTCGGCGATTTAGATCTAGTGGCTTGATTTGACAGAGTTCGGAACTACGTCGAAAAGAGATATCTGAATTTCTACGTAATTCGGTTCTGGGTAGAAAGCTGCTGATGTCAGAATTTCGTCTCGAGCCTGAAATAAGTATGTAATTAAAAAATAAGTCGCGCGTAAATAATATTCAAAATTAACGTGCCAGTTTCTGTCTACCTGCGGGACTTAAATCTACAACTTTAGGTAGTTTGTGATGCTCGTTTGTTGGTAACATTCGTCTGGGTGTTCTGTTTCCAAAATCGCTGTTCCTTTTCAGCTTGGCAGCAAACTGAGAACTTCTGTTTTTCTCGTGAGAAAAATCCGAACACCGTCTCAAGTCCCTGATACTCCCTAAAGGCGTGACGTTCTCGGAATGTCTTCTGGACATTCTGTCCGGTGATCGCCGTCTAATAATATCGGGCGAATGCTTGGCGGCAAAATCAGAGTTGCGTCGCGAGTCTGATGTAGAATCATTCTCTTCGTTTATAAATCTAACGCTGCACTCGGAGTTTCTACGAGAGGCTCTAGACGCGTCGCTACTTCGTCTACTACCTATAGAACTCCTACGACTTGGACTAGATACTGTTATTATAGGTAGAATAGCCGTCGAAGGCGTAGGTGTAGGAGGTCTGACATATACTTCTGGTACCGTTGATACAGGAACCGTTTTCTCAATTTGTGACAACGTAGTTTTACAAGGAGATTTAGTGAATTCCTTTTCAGGTTGATCTTCCTTTCTGGATGTTTTCGTAATTCGATCTATGGCATTAAAAATGATCATTTTAAAAATCCAACATTCGTCTTTACAGTCTTTGTGATTTGTATACCTTTAGAATTTTTCTCCGGATCAATCGTGAAAGTTGCAGATTCTGCATCTTCTGCTTCTTTAATTTTAGGACTGAGCAAAGTAGGTACCAAGGCAGCGGCGACAGACGATGCCAAGTTACTGTAAGGTGCTAACATAGCTAATTGCATGATACCTGAAAGAAAATATTAAACAATTTCTTTATCGGTATATTAAATAAAAGGGTAAAGGTTAAAACGTGAAAACAAACCTTTCTGATGAGTATTGGAGTTATCTCTCATCAACATACTGCTTGGCACAGTTTGCAATAAATTAATTATTTTATATCCCGCGCGTAGGAATATTGAATATAAAAGAATACTCCAGACAAGAAATACTGTTTGGACCACGTATTTTATCATGTAACAATTATGGGAAGTAAGGGCAATGTTACTGGCAATCACAAAAAAGAAGTGTCCTGTTATGATTAAACTTAGACAAGATTCTTTTTGTATTCTTTCTGGTCCAAACTTGAGCTGAAAGCAAAATTTTTCTATTGTTAATGGATAATTATAGAAATTGGCCAATTTTGGACCTGTCTAGTATAAGGGTAAATAATTACATGTATGATCCCTTGAAACCTGTAGAAACATATCCTGTAAAAAATTTTCATTCCCAGCCAGGTCCAAAATTAGATCATTTTAACCATTTTTCTTACCTGAGTTAACTGGAGGAAAGCCAATTGTACGAGACTAAAGGCAGATGTTATACAGGGAAATCCAATATCCCATATTATTGATCCAATGATTTTGGGCATGATGTCTTTAAGATTATAAGGATCTATAAAGAGGCAAGTTGCTCTTGACACACCAAGAATACATAAAAACATATTAATTGTTGTCATAAAAGGCTGGCTTGATATAAGAGACCTGGAAGAATGCATGAAATTTTCATAACTTTATTGCACTGTTCGTACACAATATGCTTTCATATATACCTTAAATGTAGAATAGATAAAAATGTGCAAAATGCAAGTACAAAGAAGAGGCACGCAAAACCGTATGTGTGTAAAAGAAAAATCCATTTCAAGTCTTGATTTACTGAAATCAACGACGGAGCAACAACTAGTAATTTGTCTAAAACTGAAGACGTTGATGAATTTGAGACACAATTTTCTCCAGGTATTGATGTTGATGATGTTATATTCATGCCTATCAATAAAGTAAAAATAATTAAACCACATTAAATTTTAAAAGGGAAATATATTTAAACTTTTGTGTCATAAAAAATATAAATATAAATAAAAAGTTTGATTAAAATAAATGTAAAAATAAATATATTATCAGATATATTAATATATTGGAAAATATAAATAAAAGGACACGAAATAATTATAAAATTGATTAGTTACTTTCACAATGATTCCAACGTTTGTTGTTAAATTTATAGCAAAGTATACGGAATTGAAAAATATTTGTTTCATTATTGCAAAAAAATACTGATACCATAAGAAAAAAACTGACCATTAGTCCAGTTAGTCAACCTATCCATAATCTCTGGATTGATGTCCACAGCACATCACTGACTCTTATTCTAATTCGTAAATTATGAAGACAGAGAATCAAATTTTCTTAAATTGCGGGCGAACAAGTTATCGCAAGAACGTACTTTGAAATGTGACAGCAGCAACAGGCTTTACCTATAGTGTAGCTGGACTCGCATCCCTCCTCCAATTCGCGGACACCCTCGGTCTCGTCTCTTTCTCTCACCCTCTTGTTAGAAATATTGATTTTAAACAAAGAGGATTGGAGGGAGAGTTCAGACCATCCTAAGTGTTACGCTTGTCGATTGTTTATCTTTAGAATTTAAATAGAGCATTACTAAAAATATAACACATTAATCCTGTTTTACTGTTTATTATTACCTTGTCGTATTCGCACGCATATCGTATAAAAATTTAACATTTTTAACTTTATTTTTAAAACATATTTTTTTTTCAACACCGAATTTTATCTTTCCACCCATTTTTTTTGTATAGAAGTGTTCTTTAATTACATACAAGAACTGTATTCTAACTCCGGTCGAAAATCATAAAAAATTATATACTTTTTTTAAAGGTTTTTGAAAATTTGTTAACAAATACTTGGCAGTATTGATAATGATTTTTCGTTATTTTATGTTATTTTCAATAAGTCGTTTGAACAGAATTTTTAGACATGATTTCTTAGTTATGAATGATCAGTAATGGTACAAACCAACTCTATATTTAGATTCAAATCAATTACCTTTCTGTCATTTTCTGCGATATCCGTTGCGCACGACTGAACGAACTTTCCTGATTTCAATAAAATATAAGCTACACCAATTATTGACAGCAAACTTGTATATAAAATTTCTGCTATGTTATTTGTATGAAACACTGTGATGTTATAGGTGTTTTATAGATTTAACACATATTAATAAACAATAGTACAAAAGAACCATCCTTTATTACAACGCGATATTTACATTCCATTATTTGTACATGAATCTTATTTTTAGATGTTTTGTTATTTAAATGCTGACACACTACCCTTAGTAATAATTCAATAAGGATAGTACAGAGAAAGGAAATAAAATAATATTATTCAATTACTACTATTAGAAATGTTAAGGAATTCGTTTTTTCTCATATAAATGGATGATGGAATTTACACAGATCAATGAAGTTGGCATGCTCTAACTGCAATTAATTGAAACAGAATGAATATAGGACTCATTACTTCTGAATATTCCAAAGTGCTTTGTCCTGTTAGCTTTTTACATAAGAGATATTTGAAAACGAATATTAAAAGTAACAATATAAGACTCCACAATGCTCTTAGAATAGCAACTTTGATCATCCCTTCCATGTGCATCCTTATGAAAATAATTGCGCAAAAATAGGTGTTCAAACCATCCGCGACAAAAAGTGGTGAAAATACTATCCACCATCCTGAATTACCTACAAAATAATTATCATCTAGCTTAAGGGCTAATAACATTGTGAAAATTGTCAATGAGACTAGATTTATCCATATTTCAAAGATAGTTAAACCTAGCCAATGTACTAATTCGTTCAAAGAAAATATCATTTTGGAGAAATCAAAGCTGATACAATTATTGAATTACTGCCATTTTTTTCATTTTTAATTACCATATAGTTAAAGATAAATCTATGATACTGCTTTGATCTTTATGTTCTATTCTTGATATTTAAGACCACTTATTGAAAATTTTCGATATACGCGTATGTGTACAGCTGAATTATTCCTATTAATTGTTTCATAATCTGCACTATCATGGAGAGGTTCAAAATCATCTGCAATAAAATTGTAATACCATTATTGCATAATGCTTAAATATAATATTATTTGTTATTTGAAATACTTGTGTACCAATGATAGTTGTAGTAGATGTCTTAATATCTAACTCCACTCCATTATAATGAATTTCTTTTAATTGGAGAGCTAAATTGCAAGCTCTGTGTACAGCAGCACCAAGGCCATGTATGATCACTTCAGATGTCCCACTGCTGAGAAGTTTCTCACATTTCTTTATTTGTGCCTTGCATTAAAAAGAAAAAGGAAAAGTTAGTGAAAGTTAAAAAGAAATCATTTAATCAATTGTCAAATATGAATCAAGTTTTAAATAGTTAATGTCTCAGCTACAGATACAGAAATCTTCTACCACTAAGTAATGAAAGATAAATATTAATATGTATTTATACAAGAAGAAAATATAACTAATATAGCAGTGATATCCACTGTAACAATTTGCCTATAAACTAACTATAAAATACTATTTTACTACTTGTTTGATAGTTCTGATATGTGATATATATATATATCTCGAATTGGCAAGATTTGACCACCACTGTTATACGGAATACAAAGTCGAAAATGCAAATATAATGTAATACTTAGATTAATTTAATCGTAAGTTAACGGATTTCGATAACGCGGTACAAAATCGTAAGATAAACTATGTAATAATAAAGTTTCAATTTTCCGTACTATTAACAATGACAAAAGACAAGGTTATAATCTCGCGACAAATATTACCTTAAAGTTAGTTTTATTAGTTACAAAGATATCTTTGTTTCGTTTCCCTGATAAATTAAAGGGTTGTCGCTTTTTGATAGTATAATCGGAGGGCGATAACTTCTTACGTTTTGCCGTAGGCACGTCCTTCTCATTCGAAAAGTCCTGACTAGACTTCGAACATTCGTGCACATCGGCCATTCTGACAGTTTCTACATGCAGTTTTCTGTTGATTTTTCACGCGTAATCAACTGTTTTGTAATGGTAGAGATCCGTCTCTAAACAAACATACAGGCCAATTAAATAAATCGCGTAGAAAATAAATGGTAAAAAGGATTATCGAATTAGTTAACAACAACGGAGTATAACCTCGAAAATCAAAATCATCGATTGATGGGCGTTTTAACAACGATTTAGTGCATTCTGCCGGAAACGGACAAGATTATTTAGCTCTTCGTAATATACAGAATTCGAACGCGATGAAGGAACCTGAAGTGGATCCGAAGAATATTATAAAAAGCAGAGAATTGCTTTACAGGCTTATGATCAGGTTACATATTTCCGTTTTCTTTACGTGCATGCTGATTAGCCTCCTTTATTTATCAGAAACAATAGAAACGATTATTTATATTATTTCGGCCCGTGTAAAGTTATTTTATATAAACGCTTGCCTTATTAATTTACTAATAACATACAATAAATATAAAATAGATTGATAATATATGTATAATAAATGTTTCAGTCAATTATTTTATGACGGACATCAGACATTGGCTGTTCAATTGTCAAATATAATTCAAGCAGAACCACCATGTCCTCCGTCCGATCGTTTGCTCCATTTAATGTTAATTGGATTAGCTCATGAACCCGATCGTTCTAAAAAAGATACAAGTAACTTATCTTCATTTCCTTCGACATTTGACAATACTTTGGGACCTGGGTTAGATTTAGAATTCGAGACAGAAGCTCAGACCCAAGCTCCAGAACCAGCTCAATATGAAACTGCCTATGTTACTTCTCATAAAGGAAACTGTAGAGCAGGAGCATTTTCTGCGGATGGTCAATTAATAGCAACTGGATCAGTCGATGCATCGATTAAGATTTTGGATGTTGATAGAATGTTGGCAAAGTCTGCACCAGATGAAATGGCACCTGGAGATCAGACAGGTGGTCATCCAGTTATAAGAACATTGTATGATCATTTAGAAGAAGTGACATGCCTGGAGTTTCATCCAAGAGAACCTATTCTTGTATCTGGTAGCAGGGATTTTTCTATTAAGCTATTTGATTTTAGCAAGGCCAGTGTGAAAAAGGCATTCAGGACTATTACAGACGCAGATCAGATACGATGTTTATCTTTTCATCCAACTGGTGATTTTTTAGTTGTTGGAACTAATCATTCGGTCGTGAGGCTATACGATGTTAATACAGCACAGTGTTCTGTCTGTAGCATACCGAGCCATCAACACACTGCTGGAATAACTAGTATTAAATACTCTCCAGATGCAAAAACTTACGCATCGGCTGGTAAAGATGGAAGTATCAAATTGTGGGACGGTGTATCGAATCGTTGTATAAATACTTTTGTTAAGGCGCACGACGGTTACGAAGTATGTTCTGTAACGTTCACGAGAAATGGAAAGGTTTGTAATATTCGAATAAATACGTGGTAAATTTGAACATAAAGTCAGAATTACATAATTTTATAATTTTGAATTTTAGTACTTGTTATCATCGGGAAAAGATTCTTTAATAAAATTATGGGAATTATCTACTAGCAGATGTTTAATAGCATATACAGGTGCTGGAACCACAGGTAAAAAGCGAAATCTTACATATTCAGAATATATGTTTGATACTAAATCAAGTTCGTTATTGCATTATTATATTATACATTGTGTTTAATGTAATTAATTGCTACCTTTTGATAGGCAAACAAGAACATAAAGCACAAGCTATTTTTAATCATACCGAAGATTATGTAATGTTTCCCGACGAAGCTACAACGTCGTTATGTGCTTGGAATTCTCGAAACGCGTCCAGGAAACAATTATTGTCGTTGGGACACAATGGTCCAGTAAGATTGATAATTCATTCCCCGACTGCTCCAGCATTCTTGACGTGCAGTGATGATTTTAGAGCAAGATTTTGGTTTAGAAGAATGCCGACTCATTAGATTGGCATTGAGGTTTAGAGGACAGATATTTGTTTCAAAGTTAATAATTTCACGATTGATATTATGTGTGGATTTACGTACGATTATCGAACAAGAAAATTAGAAAAAGCAGACGTATAATGATGTGTGAACAATTGTACAAAAAATTGTCGTATAACATCTTTTTCAATGGTCGCATATTTAACTACTGCGCCTTGAAGCGACAAAAGTTTACTCCGACAGTTTATGTTAAACTGACATATGATCTAGTTTTAAATCACTGTATTATCCGCTTCCCTTTACTTTGAAGTAAAAAGGACGACAATGTCGTTTTCTTTTGATACCAATCTACATCAATGTCAATGTTACTAATACTCAAAACGCGTATGACAAATTGCTCAATTTGAACAGTTCATCATAGCAATTGAAAACGATAGACACAAAATGTTTTTGTTTTTGCTATCTAAAGGTGAGTAACGAGAATAAAAATATTCTGTGGTGAAAAGCGAAGGCATCCTCGAAATATGACATTCGGAAAAGTACAAAAGGGTATACGATCGAATGTACTTTATATTAGTTTTCATTTGTTAAATGTAACGTTAGACGTTTAATTGCCGAGCGATTTTATCGCTTTAAACAGAAACTTAATGGTTTCCTAAGAAAGGTTCATTTATTATGGTAAACGAGTCCCATCGAAGAGGATTCACGAGATAAAGTAGCATCAAGTACGAAGAAGTACAATGTAAAGTAAAAATCGAACGATACAATTTAAAATGTTCCCGTATGCGTTGCGTCGCTACGTGTCGAATTACTCGGTTAATCGCGAGGCGGCGCTCTGAACTCCCGCTTTACGTTTGACGATATGTCACGTGACCCACGCTAACCGCCATCTTTGCTTATCGTATAAACAGTGCGACCGGGCTCAGCACAAATTCTTGTCGAGAAATAGCGGTTTTTCCAGTGTTTTTGAGTGATTCGAACGCGAGGAAATGTCCGAGATCAAGGCGGAGAACAAGAACGACAACAGCATCGAGGATGTGTCGAAGGTAAGCAGACGGAAGCGTGAGAAATATCTTCATCAAGCCGAGTTTTCATGCTAAGGCGGCGTGTGTTCCCCTCGAATACAAGGAGACGCTCGTTCTCTCGAAAATTCGATACGATAACGCGTGGTACGCCACAAAAATGTTGTCCGTAAAGTGAGTACGCGAGGTAGGAACTCGTACGATCATAGAACAACGGTGGCTTTTTTCGCGTGGCTACGGACTCTGTAATTTTTCAAAGCTGCGCCGTTTGTCCTTCATTAGCAAAGATGGTGGATGTTTTTTATTTGTGATTCCCGTAACGAGGAGAGTCACTAGTCAGTGACGATAGGGCTGTATCTAAAAGGCGGAAAACGGGTTTCGACGGAGGGATTGCGTGCCATGCGATTTCCACGAAAATGCGATCCTCGTAGGAATATCCTTCTAGGCTACGACGCTAGAAATACATATCGACTTGCCAAAATGGCGGGAAACTTAAACAAACTTAGCGTATACCCCGGGTAGTTCAACGGTCCTTGATAATCTTATCGCGCGAGTAATTATCGTCGCGTTTCTGAGTTTTTTTTTTCTCGTAGTACGACGTAATCCTTAAAACGATCACGGTTCATTTTCGCACTATCGGCAGCATGTTTCTTCTGCGCGGGAGTTAACGGTCAAGCGGCTCTAATGAATTTTCTTTTTGTGCTTCTATTTGCCCAAGTGGAATGACATGTAACGATGAAATATTTTCAGGATCATTCTGTAGAAGAGAAACCAACTCCAACGAAAAACAAACGAGGAGGTACGAAAAGACTTTCCACACTCGAAAGGACAGCTCAAGAAGGAGAATTACTCATAAAGGTGCGTTCTCTTCTACTGTTGTTATTAATCGGTCAGGATCGATTCGTCGAAAGTTTGAAAATATTTGAAAGTTCAAGGGCTTAGGGTCTAGCCCTGTGCCTGAATGTTTCCCTCCATTTAGCCTCCCTGTTAACTCTTGCTGCCTACGTGAGTAGAAGGGTGTTAGGAGTGGGGATATGTTAGAGCAGAGTAGGGATGAGGGGAATTCTCTCAAGTCTATGGAGGGAAGAATTTACTACCAATACGCTCGTGACCGCCAATTATGAATAGCCATCCTTACTTTCTAAATCGAATGGCATAGTCTTTGTTACTATGTTAACTATTAATATTTCTCACTGAAATAAAAATACGATAAATATTTATTATTCATTTTATATATTATTTATAATACTGTAGAATGTCTTTATATAGTATTAACGCTTTGCGCTTGTTTTTGTAGAAGGAAGGAGACGTTAATTTTGTTTTGCTTTTAATTATAGGATTTAAATGCATCCGTTGGAGAAATGGAAGGGAGAAGGCGTACGCGTAGTTCAGCACGAGGCCTTAGCTCGTCGACGCCTGTGCCATCTCCACCTAAAAAAGAAAAGCGGGAAACATCGACGAAGAGTACTGGTCGTGGACGCGGGCGACCTAAACGGCAAGAAAAAAACAACGAAAATAACACCGACGAAGAAGCAGCAAACAATAAGAGCGAAAAGCATTCCGAGGAGGAATCTATGAAAATTGATGAGGATGATAATAAGGAGGAAACAGAAAAGTTGGTAGACAACGAGGACAAAAGTGTTGCGAAAGCAGAAAGTAAAGAAACTACAGAGAAGACACTGGAGTCCAATTTTAAGGAAGAAAAGATAACAGAAGAATCGGAAGATTTTGCGGAAGAAACCAAAAGCACTAGTGTCAGTGAAGAGAAAAAGGAGGAAGACATAAAGGATAGCTCGGATTCAAGTCAGGATGCGACAGACACAGCGGCCGAAATACCATCCTCATCTTCAACGGAGTCTCAAAACCCGTCTAATACCACTACTACTGAAGAAAACAAGGAATAACCTCCTTTCGCCTGTTTACCAGTTTCATGTAAGCATTCTTTTACACTTGTTTCATTGATTCTTTACCAATCTTGTACAGATCTTTGTCAAATGATTCGAATGGAAAAAGAGCGAGAACATTTTATATATTTGCATCGTTTATTCGATCATATTTATGTTTATAACTTTGTGTAATGTTTGGTTCTTGTCCATAAGTTAGAAAAAAATGTTCTCATTCTTTGTTACCTAAATTTTAATAATGTCGTTGCGCGGTTAAAAAAAAATGCAATATAGTTATAGCTACTTTAGAAAGTAAAAATTTGTTAAAAAATATTCATTTTACTGTAGCAGGTACCAGGGGCGGCGCACACATTGGGGTTACAAATCCAGTCCCCTCGTCTATTTTAACAAATTGACACCATTTTGCCAATCGTTATCCTAATCAGCGCACGCGAGTTTTATTTTACTTTCAATTTTAATTCAAAAACGAAACATGGAGGTATGTTTACACTATACATTTGTTGCCAGATTAAATACATGTTTTAGCAATGTATTTGATGGTATCGAGTGTACCATAGAGTATGTAGTTGTTTTAATCGTTTTACTCCGTCGGAGTAAAATTACTCGTTGCACTGGTTAGTTGACGATAGCAAAGCGAGGTGTAGAGCATACGTTGTTCATGTACAATGATAATATTATTGTAAAATATATTTAATATGGACTTATATAGAGACAAGTTGTTTTCAAATCAGAACTGAGGACGGACTCTAGCAATAATAGTCTTCAATTCAGATCTGATATGGAAGTAGCTGAAATTAATTCGTACATAGAAAATTACTGTAATACCTTATCTTATATAAATAATGACTGAATGAAATGGAATATATGAGAATTATGGTGAAACGATTTCTCTTTTTCATGGAATGCAGAAATAAAATTTCTGAAAAAACGCGCCGTAGCGTGATATCTATTGTTTCCTTCCTTGCATAATGTTACTAATATTAACCAATTTATCATTTTTTTTTAATTATTTAGTTCTCTTTGATACTTTGTAACTAACACTTTAATGAAAATGTGTTTCGTTTCTATCTTTCGAACAGAAAATTATTGTAAGATAGACGTGTGCATATGTATTTTTCGCTATAGAATTCCGCGACACGTTGATATTCTGTGATCTGTAAATCTACCTATTAAGCATTTTTTTGTTCATAATGGTCCAATATTAAATATGTTGATATTATTGTGTATTTGAACGGTTGTAAGTGTACAGATAGATTATATAATTCAATGCACTATGATTAAAAGATTTACATTTCTTAAGGAGGCATAGAAATGGAATGATAAATCTGATCATCGAACGTTCGAATGTTCAAACGTGTGTGCAATTAAGAGAAACAATTTTGTTACGATCACGCTCGTATTTCTTTTTATCTACGTAAACGAGAAGCAATTGTAGTTCAACATTCATTGGAAGTGTCTTAAATCGACTTTATCGAATTTGTATGCCAGATAAATTATTAATTTAATTGTACGTTGTTGATTGAACGTAAATGTTTGTAAGCCAGGGCACAAGAAACAATTAAAATTGCGAAACTGATTTCAGACCAATAATATACATACTTCCGATCATTGCTGTATTACGAAAGGATAGATGGGATTTGCCATTCTATGTATTTCTTTTTTTTCTTTTTCTTATCGGTAACATTACGAGATGAAGTGTCGGTTCGATGAGAGATTAAAATCAAATGCGATACGCGTGTACATAGTTAAGGTTAAGCTTCGTGTGTGGCAATTGATCTTATCTCCAACGGTAGCGCGAAGGATCGGAACATGTGTGCCAGCGTGAGCACAGTCTTATATAAGATATATATATATATATATACACATATACATATACATATATTATATGTATATATATATAGTCTCAAACGTGTTTTCCCTTATTCAATCAAACAAAAAGATGACGTTTCACGCCATTATATTACATTTAAAGATTTACCCCCTTTTAGGTAAATAAATGGTAAACATATTTTATCTATACATAAGTATATAGATGATTAGCATGTATGGAAGAAAATATTGCCTATGAGGTTCGATATTAGAATTTTTATGATATATTTACAATTTCAAGTGTATTCATTCATGTAACAGCAGGCTAAAGTGTTTTTATTAGATCCAAACGAATGCTTTATTTCTTTATTACAAGTCCAATGCTTGCATCTAAGATTGTTTCCTTTTTGTCGAAATAGTCTATATAATTTTCTATAGGGATAAAAATTGATCGGCAAAATCGATGTTGATCGATTTATTACGCCTAGACGCGCCGCGCATGCTTGTACATTTTTTCGATAAAGTTTTTAAACAATTCGTCCTACGCAAAATGTATTTTGATAACACATTTCATTCAGTTTACGTGTATTACTTTGACATCCTGTGCATTGCTCGTAATTGTCGGTTTTATTGAACTTATTTTCGCAGAGTCATTACGATTTAACGTTCGATTCGATTCGTACGTTAGGTATGTGCGAGTATTTTACGAACGTAGAAATTTTAACGTTAATAGTTTCGAGACGAAGGATTGCAATGTTTTGTACGTAATAATTATTTTTGAATATCGAATGAATCATTCTCCGAGGCATTTGGTAAATGATCGCGATTAAACACGGATATACGTATGAAATTCAGGATCGTTTTATAAATGTGAAAATTTAAATAAGTATATAAATTAATAGGCATTACTTCAGCGTTATGAAAACGGTAAGTTTTACGTGTATGCGGTTTTTAATACATAGTTGATACGTCTTCGTTAAAAATAATCGCTAAGAGAATATGGAATGGTTGTGGGGGAAAAAGTGGAATGGGAAGCGAATGTTAATACTTTTTTGTGCGACAAAAATTATATTTCGAACGACTTGGAAATATTAGCGACGAATGTAAAGGCAATAGATTTTTATACGGTAATATTGGTTTGGTAAAATTCACAGTGATATTTCTTTATAACATTCTTGCGAGAAACGTGACATCGTTTCTTGTTTCCTTCGGAGGTGAATCAAACAGTGTGTGCTATCGATAGATCGAACAAAACGTTATCACAGTAAGAAATAAAAAAAAGAAATTCTCAACTAAGTTGTCATTAATGTTGTGTACATTGTTTTTCGAAGGTACGTTCTGTATTTTAATTATCTACAGTCGGTGTTATCGAGTCGTTTAACACGACTAAAAGTAAGAATAAAACTCATGTAAAATGAATTCGTGCACTGGGGTTAGGGGCTCACTACCTTCGTCCTTGAGGACCACGAACAGCAGAAATTCGCTTTAACGATGCACTAGAAACCAATAGACTGTCGGTGTCTAAAAAAATGAGGGAACTAGATATCTCAGCCTTTGTATCCAGGTATAAACTAGAAAATAAAGAATTGCTTAAAAGATTCAGCAAAGAATTACTCTCAACGACAGAATGCTCAAGTTTGTTAAGAAATAGCTTCTAATGCTGTCGTTATTAGATATCGTCAACTTCTGCTTTCCGACCCTGTAACACGTATTCGCAATTTCTACTTGTTTCAATACATAGTCGTAGTTTCACGCCGCGTAATATGCATTAACTTGGGATTATATACGTCGATTTATTTAGTAAACTTAGTTGAAAGCTTACGTTTATAGTAAAAAAAGAATGCACTGCTGTACGATAAATTGCATCGCCATCTGCGGCAGAACGTGCAACTTTGTCGAGAAATAGTTCGTTGTCTTCGAGGCTAGATGGTGCCTCGAGTATGTGCGATGTACAAATATTATCAATTATTAATATTAATATAAAAATATATGTTGCTTATAAATTTAATTTATATATAAAACGTACTATTAAAATTTCGATTTACTTGCTTATAAATTGCATTATCGATGGATGCTTAAAGACGGATGCTTCTCATAGCAGAGACAATGACTACGTAAATGTTAGCCTGGAATATTTATTGTGCTTTTTTTTACAATCGCGATTTCTACGTAGGGTAACATCGACCGTGCAATGCCAGCGAAAAATATTCGAGGTGCGTGAGTTAGCATTTACTTCGGCAGTCGCGAGAGCGAGCGCCCTCCCCACCCCGCGCTCAATCGGCTACGTGACGACTGTCGGTACGAGGTCATTCGCTCGGTCAAAGTGAACGCGTTCAGACCTGTCTCGCGTCTCGCGTATAACACGGTACGTACTCTTCATCTAACGATATCTAAACACTTCTAATCACTACTACTACTCTCTCATCACTCTCTATCAGTGCCTTGATGTAATATTAGTTCATTTTGACTACGAATTTAACCGATATCGTGAAAACAATTGAATCGGTTTCGTGCCTTTTCATCGATAATCTGACCAGCCTCGATTATCATTATATTTCTCTAAATTACTATTTCTTCCAGGATATCTATTTAATCTATCGAATCGTAATTCGTGTTTTATTTCCGTTACAGCCTCGAATCTCGTGTCGACTTCAAGGAAGGACGCCATGATTGCCAATTCGAATCGCAGGAATTTGGCGCGAGATGTTCAACTTCGAGGAAGGACGCCATTACACGGAGTCGCCATAAGATCGCCACAACGACTCGGTGGATGATTCACTCTGCGCAGAAACATCATCCTGGACGCGAGACCAAGGTATTCTCGATCGTAATCAACGATCGGTGAGTTGCATGTGATTTTTGTTCCTCCGGTCCCCGATTATGTCGTAGGACGAATTGGTCCGAATCGACATGGGTGAATCGGTTGTATACGTGCTTATTTGGCAAGTGCAGTGACACATGTATATTGTTTTATGATAGGATATTTTAATTAGGATCTTCTTGCATACCGCGATTTTTAATACAACAAAAATGTCATAGCAAGATCAATTTTTCGTACTTATTTAAATATATCGATTAATATGCAAGAAGATATTTCGCGACGGATAGATTCCAGAGTCAAAGCAACATACATTATGTACTATTTTCACGTTTTAAAAAGATGCTTTGACAAAGGAATCGTCCGAGGGTTACATAGTTTTCTCAATTTGATTACATATTTTATCTTTCATTTTCAAAGTAGTTTATTTTATTTCAAAGTCACGATTAGAGTCATTTTTTAAATATCAATTTCACATATCAAAACGAAATAAGAATATCTACTCCGTTACAGATTCTCACTTAGATTCTAACCATATTTTCTAGTCAGGATTTTCAGGATATTTTTCCGTGTTCATTGCCTGATCTCGCTCAAGTGCCCAGGTGCTACTTGGGCGAGTGAAGGCAATGGGCACGATGACTATGTTTATAATAATTAATCATGTACGCGACTGACATTGGCTAGTGTATCGTGCACGACGTAATTCTCACATGTGTGTGTTTGTGGTTAGGATGTGAAATTGCGTCGTTTAAAAATTCATTATACTTTACAAAGACAATTTCATTTCAATTTGTACATATTACGAAATATAAATGAGAATTAGCCTTCTTTATATCGAGCCACAGATTGCATAGTTACATATGAATTATATTAAGAATATAGAATGATTTTATTACACGAATATAACGTAATGTAATATAGTAAGTACGCAAAGATCACTAGCCTTTGTCGGTCGATTTCAGTGCCTGGTACGTATCTTAGAGTGTGAATGTTTGCAATGTTCGGGTGTCGGAGGAAACCCGGTGTTTCCTCCCTAGTTTAGGCCGCGCCCGAACATCTTGTATGAGAACCGTGGAGTGTTTGCTTGCGAGAATGAGATTTTGCAATTTTTTTAAATATAGCGTCAGGTAGGTAGGTAACTTCCTCTCTGGTGTGTGTGGTAAATTTAAGTAGGTAGGGCCAGGGCAGGACTGTTCACATTAGTTACTCGGGTAGGCTCGTTTTCGCGTGGCAGTCCTGTACCTGTAGGAACGATCTCGAGAGTCGAAAAGTTTAGCCATTCCATACGGTTCTTACCGTGTGTGTTTTGGCGTCGCTTTCGATTCTTGATATCTCTGCGCTGATCGCGGTCGCGGTCGTGGCTAGGCCCCATTCGAAACGCTCGTCCCCTCGAGATTCACCACGTACGCTCCTCCAACAATTCGTGCATTGTTGGAGGACTACGTATTGCACGAAATCTCGAGCCAGGTCTTATGTAAGTTTCAGACAACGGCAGGACCGCCGAAGAAAGAAAAGGCTCTATGAGCTGAAGAGGCCCTGACAAATTGTCGCAAGAGTGGGCAGCAACGATTGGCTCTTCCTCCTCATCAAAGAATGAGGATGGAGAGTCATACTTTGTTACTACTTTTGTCACTGCACTTGCCTGTAGTTGTAGTATTTCTAGTTTTACAGATCCACTGCATATCGAGGTTCGCATTTACGTTGCGAATCACCAACGATCGCCTTGCGATTGTTTTAACTTCGCGGTGATTAGATTTAGAGTTGCGTACAATCAGAATTTTTCGCGATTTCTTTCAGAGTAGAGTCACGAATAGGAATTGATCGCGATTTGCTATTAGCGTTGCGTACACGAATGATACACGCGTTGTTTGTGCAGATAATTCTGCAAATTAGTTTTCTAGTTCCATTTAGAGTTGCGTACAATGAGATTTTTCGCGATTTCTTTCAGAGTAGAGTCGCTAATAGGAATTGATCGCGATTTGCTATTAGTGTTGCGTAACACGAACGATACACGCGTTGTTTGTGCAGATAACTCTGCAAATTAGTTTTCTAGTTCCATTTAGAGTTGCGAACATTGAGAATTTTTCGCGATTTCTTTCAGAGTAGGGTCGTGAACAACAACTGACCACGATTTGCTATTAGCGTTGCGTACACGAATGATACACGCGTTGTTTGTGCAGATAATTCTGCAAATTAGTTTTCTAGTTCCATTTAGAGTTGCGAACATTGAGAATTTTCGCGATTTCTTTCAGAGTAGAATCGTGAACAAGATCACGATTTGCTATTAGCGTTGCGTAACACGAACGATACACGCGTTGTTTGTGCAAATTAGTTTTCTAGTTCCATTTAGAGTTGCGAACAATGAGATTTTTCGCGATTTCTTTCAGAGTAGAGTCGCTAATAGGAATTGATCGCGATTTGCTATTAGCGTTGCGTAACACGAACGATACACGCGTTGTTTGCCTAGATAATTTTGCATATTAGTTTTCTGGTTCCATTTAGAGTTGCGTACAATGAGAATTTTTCGCGATTTCTTTCAGAGTAGAGTCACGAATAGGAACTGACCACATGTTTTGTTTGTTACTTTACTAATCCATTATACAAATTTCTGTTGCAGTAATGATATATTCAAGAGGACCAAAAATATCAAATGTGTTCCTCGTAAACGAAATTTAACGAATTTTGTTTCATACTCTCTAGTTTGTGTTTCAGGAAATCATCGTGGGATAAATAGAAGAAAGAAGAATGAAGAACATATTCAAGAGGGCCAAAAAATGGTATATAAAAATATCAGATGTGTTCCTTGTAAACCAAAAACGAATTTTGTTTCATATTCTCTAGTTTGTGTTTCAGGAAATCATCGTGGGATAAATAGAAGAAAGAAGAATGAAGAATATATATATTTTCATGTATTTTATTTCAGATTGTTAATTTTTCATTTTATTTTTCAGTTTATTTTCTAAATGAATTTTGATTTATGTTTGGTCAGGCTCTGATAGTATGTTTAAGGTAGGAACAACGAGGGTGACCATATTCTCATCTATTTTGTTAACTAATTAAGTTGGTAAGATGTAAATGAGTTTGACCACTTCACAGTGTGTTTGGTTGTCTGCATTAGCTATTGCGTTAGGTAGGCTAATTTCTGTTTGAATGTGGATCTTGTTTTATATATATTCGATTGACTTTTGTGTCTGGTTGGTGACAAATTCTTTTGAAAACTCTGTTCCTTCGTTGGTTGCACGTTTTATTGGTTGCTTCCTTCGTTGATTGCACTTCCGTTTGTTTTCTCTTCGACGAAACGATCTATGATCGTTGGTCACATCAAATCACAACAAATTTAGTAATGGAGGGTGGTTGGGAATCGGTTAGGGCGGGTCTCCATTCGCAGCAACCTCCTCGTGGTGAGACCTGGGTAATATTATTTAGGGTTTAATTAATAATCGTATCACTCTTAGCTGGGTAATGCAATTATTAATTAAAAACTAATTAGTATTAGCAAATTAGGCTGCGATCCGCTTTGCATAGGTTATCATAAATATAGAGCATCTCCGCTAGATTAGTTTTGATTGTCATAGTTGGTACAAACATGTGGAAAATGATTCAGAATGTAAATGTGCTTCGTCGCTTGCACAAACGTATTGAGTTTTCCTTCGATCTTGCATTACGTAAAAGTTTCAAATTATTTTCGGTTCCGAGGGTCGATTACAATCATTTTTCGTGAATACACATACTTCCAAAAATCCCATCCAGTTTCGAGAAATAGATTCGAGTAGGTGTAAAATTTTTCGACAAAATTAAAATATTTCAAATCGTTTCGATTCGGTTTTCGTGGTTGAATTAAAACATGCAATAATACACTCAGATCCATTCGTGTCCGGAGGGTGTTTTGCAACTCGAAATATTGCAAAATTGTTCTTTCCTGCCTCTCAGAATTTCCAGTTTTCGTGCAAATTAATCGTCGTTGCAATTAGAGTCACGCTACGCCCGTTGATTTCGCGATCGAGTTTAGAAATTCGATTTAGCGTTTCCGGAAGCAGCGGTCGGAACTACTATCAATTACTGGCTCTAACGAACGAATCCTGCTCGGTTGATATCGCCTATGGGATAGAAACGGAGCTCGAAGTGACTTCTGTAGGAAGGGCTTCAAAATATTTATTTCGTCGTAATTACAATGCGCTTACATTTACAGAGTGGCTGTGGTTACGTGTACTAGTACGATCGCATAGGTAATTACCGAGTGTTAATTGCATCGCAGGGGAATGCCGGCCGCAAAACCGCGGGGAACGCGTGCGAATACAACGCGCGTCGTTCTACGGGATTCCTTTCACGCTAGATCGATATTCATCGCTCCCGTTTCTGTCTCTCGATTATCTTCGCGGTTTTCCTAATAACGGCTATCGCCTTTTGCCCGTCGAACGACCGTAATTATCGTCCCTCTGTTCGGCGATCGGTAATCAAAGCTTCGCTTGCCCTCGCGTACGATTAATTATTGTTTCGATTAAAATAATAGTCGATTTCGTGGCACCTTGGAAACAAATTACGAAATAATTGGACCGTGCAAGTTCTTCCTGTACGCTTTAACGCTGTCTCCAATACGTTTACAACACATCGACGATACAAAATATGTACTCTACGAGAAAGATAACTTGAAATCAAATTTTCGGAATAAGTTGCTAATATTCGTAGAATGAACGAATGCTTATGCAAGAATAGAGTATAAAAATGGAAATTTAGTTGGGTTTCGAGCGTCCTCCTTCCTCCCTTGTCTATCTATGCTGGTAACGAGCGAGGAAGGGGTGTCGTTAGGAGAAAATATTGTTTCGTTCTCGGCTTGAAGTTCAGCATTCGATGGCACCGGTGAACGGTTCGACTGTCGGACGATACACGGACATTTTTATACCGTAACTTTCACTGGGAAGCAAAGGGCGAAATGGAAAGCAATAAAAATGAACGAACCACCGGCGACAGGCATCGCGTAATTGGAAACGATCCACTGTGCGCGCGACAGGAAACGCCGGGATATGTCGAAAATTTCTCGTACGATCGATTCTTCACTTTGGCTTGACGCGAATCCAAACGAACGACGATTCAGGCGTCGCGGCGTTCGATGCATAAAAAATACAAAGGTCGTGATATTAGCGATGATATGTTGACACGACTATCTCGAGTTTCTGGTTCACTTTCCGCGGGAAAGCCTTCGTAACCCCTGACCGCAACGAGGAAAGCTAATTGAAATTAAATCGTCGTTCCTCGATTTCTACGTCCGAGATATTCGTTTTCAACCGCAAACATTTCCGGGATCTATAGTTTGCGATCCGCCGGGATGTAAGTAGTTTCGATCGAGAATTGCACGGGAAACGACGGGAATTGCAGTAATTTAGCCTCGAGCGTGTTCAGGTATCTCTCAGATCGTAGCTCGATGTCTTTTTGTCGAAGAGATCGCAAAATATAGTGGTTGGTGAAAAAATAGTTGAAATCCTTGGATGGGCGACCCTTCGTTTTCCGGGCCTTCCGGTGTGAAAGTTCCTCTGAAATTCTGTCGATCTACACTGGATCGGGCGCGGGGGCGAGCAGCTGCATGCTGCTACTCGATCGCGCTATCTGTAAAACCAACGATTATTCAACGAACAAAGACATTTTTCTTTCTATGTCTTCGAATTAATTTTTGCTCGTGTCGAAGGCTCACCTGCTGCTTTGGCTGTCTGTAGGATTTCCTTGCGTAGACTTTCAAAACCCTGCAGTTGCACGCGACGGACAATGCTACGGCCAGACCCTGCTCCAACGCGTGAAAAACAAACAGAATGATCGATCAAAACACGAAAAAGACACTCTGTCCTCGCTAAATAGAATGCTTTTCGATTCGAAAGTGCTTTCGAGGGAATTAGTTTGTCGGTTTTCGTTTACCACGAAGGTTTTTCGCGCGTCCCTTTTCGTTTCTCGTTTTGTCTCGTAAAACGCGAGCGTAAAAATTTTGTCGCTACACCGACGCGAGATTACGCTCGTTATGAAAATTTTACAGTTCCCTCTTTACGAGTCCTCCTCGGGGGGGTTCTTGGCGTTCTCACCCTGAGAACCGGCTCTTTCGAGCAAAAGCATCCGCTTCGTTTCGTATGAATAATTCGCTTTCGTTATCGTACAGATGTTTCGCGTTTGCCAAGAGTCTGCCTTCGGGCTCGCCCCAATTTCCAGCCATTGCTTGCTCAGACGACGTTTCAAAGTATTGTTTCTGATAAATTGGCCCCGGCGAGAGATGACCCTCCGCGGAAACTCTCGTCGCGGACAAGTTATCCTAAACGGTTTCAAGTAATTTCGAAACTTATTAGAATCGCGTTCAAACGATTCCTCACCTGCAGGGAATGCCCGGTGCAGAACACCGCCCATAGAAAAGAAATCCTCCATACTCTGGACGCGACTTCGCAGCCAGCCACTAGGCCCACTATCATGCTGATTTTCAAAAACAATATCAGCTGCAGCGCTCTCCTCCTCTTCATTTTCTCGCGTTGCTTGATCTCCAATTGCATGCTGCAGGTGTATCTACGCAGAACGGCAGAAAACCATGATTTTTAGTAGACGGAATCTTTTTATATCTTGATCGATAGTTGGCATTTTCCTTGGAAAGAGAACGATCTATTTCGTAGGGGAATAGAAGGTAGATTTAGCGGATAGTTATCGCGATACCTGGACACGATCGCAGCTTTGATTAGATAGTAGCCCGCTGTGAGAAGCAGCAGGACCACCGGCAAACCGTAAGCGTAAATTGTTGCGTTCGTACCCAAAAACCTGCAAGAAACGACAATAATTAATTATTTACTCTCTCTGTCGGAAGAAATCTTGGATCCTCCATCCGAGATTCTTAATTTCGCGATAGATTTCCCAGGAATGCTACGTATTCGTGATAATCAAGGGTCGTTGTTCCTAGTCAAAGACAAACGATGAAAGATAAAAGGGCGGAAGGGTAAAATGGAAATACGTTGATCGTCGAGGATTTTTTTCAAGACTAAGGCAAAGGGGACAAAAGGTAAAAAAGAGAGATCCTGAGATATGGATTCGACTCGGTATTCGTCGGAGTTACCAAGGAAATATAAGACTTTCCAGCCGGAGGATAATCTCGTCCATATTTTCGATAATATCCCCATTTTTGCTACGATATTGGTTTGTTCCGTGTAACTATACTTTTACTTTATATACCGTTGGCTTGTTCGAGGGACCTAGCTTTCGCCCACCGACTGAATTCAAACAGGTATTACAAAGAAACTTCTTCCTCGGAGGGAGGAAAAGAATTATTAAGAAGTTATATATCCGCGGGCTGATCGAACCCCCGAGTGCAACGATCGTGACTCGAAACGCGTTACTCTCTCTTTTTTAATGGAAACGAAACATTGATTACAGAGTTTCAAGATTTAAGACGATCGTGAGAACTCTGCAAACTTTTTGTTCAATTTTTATCTCCGATCGTGGTTCGAATTCCTTGTTTCATGTCGCAACATTCGACAGCAGTTTGTTAGAAACATTCTTTGTTTTTAAAAGGGGGAGCAACGATACGTTACCAGCAATTGAAAGGCGTAAGGTCCGCGATATTCCAAATATCGTTCGCTTCGCGGATCTGTAGACACACGGCTACCCCGAGGTTTAGAAACGGTGCACCCCAGGCGAAGACGCTGTACTTGAGGTAGGTCGGTGGGTCGTCGCGACGCGGTATCGAGGCGACTGTGGCGTAAAGGTGATGGCACATCGCGGCTAGCCAACAGACCACGGTCATCCGAAGATACTGTAGGCTCAGTCCCAGAGAAATGCACAGCTCCGAGTCCTGCGAGCAATCGAACAAGAAGCTTTACACTCTAAAAAATGAGACTTAAGAGACGTTAGGCTGTAAAATGTGCAAAATTAAAGGTATCGATACAGCGATTGGGCAAGCATCTTTATTTAAAGAGCAGGTTAGCCAGGTAATAAAGTACTATACAGATCAGGCGTTCTACGAACGAACACACTGTCGTTTTTAATCATCATTGACCGAGTTTCGATCCTTAGTTTCGTTTAGTGACAGTTTTACTGTCATAGTTATCGGTTTTATTTACTACCCCGAATCGCGAGATTTTCCCCAAGTTGTACGAGTAGCGAAAGATGGGGAAAGTAGTTTGCGAATCTTGGAGCAAACTTGTTTTCGAGCAGAAGAAATAGGTTGACGAAGGGAAGCTCGAACGCATGTATCGATAGAGTACACAAGGTGAATGCAATATTGTACGTCGACACGATATTAGGTGCGCGTAGCCTACCGCTTTATCGTGAAATGCTCACACTCGGTAGGATATCGAGTGTCAATATTCGAGGGATGTTCGCTCAGTATCGAATCAACGTTTCCTAAAGCGTAGGTGTTCTATGCTCGGACCAGCCAGGGCCATTAATATTCCGGTAAAGCTGTCGTCGTGCTCGGTACCGTGTTCGAGGAAACCTGCTCGCCATATTATACGGGACCAACAATTTTCTTGCCCCCCTTGTGCCAATAACCGGTTACCCTTACGGTTTCGAACCTTTTCTTTTATCGAAAGAAAGCAATAATCGCTAAATATATGGAATATCACGGTGGAAAAATGATCCCCGGTTCGTTCGACGTTTCCCAATAATTCCTGGAGAATTAATTCGAATTGCATGCGGTTCGAACATTACCCGTGCGCGAGAACTGTAAATTTTGATTTCCCTGTTACGGGCTGGCAATGAATTTCATCGCCGTGGCGTTCATTCTTCGTTCGGTTGTCGATTACGAACGCTCATTATTGCTCATTATCCGTCGGTAGGTACGTTTATTTCGAAATATGTATTGTAAACGCGTTCGTTGGAACATCGAGGAACGTTCATTATCAATCGTTGGATAGTGCAGAGACGAATTAATAATGCAGGGTCGTGCATCGATTAATCAAACAACTCGCACGTAATTACATACGTGCACGTCGAGTGATTTTTCAACGCAACTGCACGAACGTTGCTAAAACTCCTAGTATTTTATTTTTTCCAACGAGTAAATAATTAAATATAAATTGGGGGAGTGGTTCTCGAAGCAAAGAGAATGTTCGAGGGATTTCTTTGGATCGGGGAGGACGGTTTCTTGAAAGTTTCGCGTCGAATATAGGCTGAAGACGTAACCGAGAACGCGGGATAGACTTTCGAAAGAGTAGATCCTTTTGAAGAGACGAATGGGGGAGTAGGGGAATAGCGAGAAAAGCTGGAGAAGCTGGAACCTTTTGGTACGTGACGCGGGACTAAGTCCAGGATTATCCTCGTTGCTGACATCGACTGCGAGTATTAAGGAACTGGATCGAATCCGAATCGATACCGCGAATTTGATGCGGTTCCGATAACAGGGTAGAGATATCTTTACATCGAGAGACCATCGGAACCCGGCCCGTTTCATTTCCCTCCCCCACTGTAGAAGATTATGCGAAAATATACGAGCAGCAAGAAGGAAATTCGAACGGGAAAAGAATCGTATCTTGGCCGTGAAAGGTATCAAAACTTTCCGCGATCCAATTTCCGTTTTGCCTCGTACATTCTCCGGGCTAAACGTTTTTTCTATTAACCTTGCGATCGTCCGCGATTCCCACGCATATTTAGTGGAAAAAGTTGAATTTATTTCGTTGAAAATATCTTCTTCGAGCGAAACTCTTTCTCTGTCGCGTAGCTTCCAACGATCGACGTTTAAACGATATCGCGAAGTTTACGCACGCGAGAAAGTAAATTGTACGCGACGATTTTATAGGAAAAAATTGACGAATAACGGGAGGGAATTTCCTTGGTCGTGAAAGTTCGAGTTTGCTTCGAAAGAGTATAGAAACTTTGTATAAATGCGCGGCAGCTTCGGGGCGTGCATCGATTATGGCTCGAGGCGATACATCCAAACTTGGAAGAAAAAAAATGAAAAAACCTGGAAAAGCCACGGCGCTCGAATTATTATTATTTGTATCGTTTTGATTAAACTTATCAGCTATCCTCGACGATGCGTTTATTGCCACGATTTCAAGCTGAATACATGGAAATATTCCAAGATGGATACATTGAAACGATGGATAATTGTTTTAAAATACAATAATTTGCATGGAAAGCGCGATTGTTCGATCGACGGAGACAAAGGCAATTATTTACAATCGTTTGGTATAATCGATCTCCTTCTCTCGGTCCCCTTAATTGCATTGAATTTCAAATCGACGCCTTTCCAGCGGCAAGGTTCTTTCATTTTTAACGTTTCTTTGATCGCGGAAACCTGATCGTCCATGAAATTAGTAATTTAGACTCCACGACAATCGTTTCACTCGTGTTTGTTAAATAAGACATTCGTAGAGTTTTGATTCGCGCTCGTCCAACGACTGTCATTTGAAATACGAAAATATTGAGATCGAAATAACCGTGGCCTATTAATTTCACAGTCAAGTATAAAGAAGAGACGCGACAAAAGGGAGAGAGAGAGAGAAAGAGTTTTCTCTGGTCTGTTTTCCTGACCAGCAGGACGTTTATCGGGTTTTCCGTAACGCTTGATTACGTCCGGCTTTGATTGCGTTTTCCTTTTACGTTCAATAAATATTCCTTGGCTTCTGTACGCTTTTTCCTTAAAATTACCGATTTTTGTTGTTTCGAGACCGTTCTACCTCGGTAAATATTTGCGTAGGTCCGCGTCAGAGCTAGTTTAGCACTCCTTTCGCACGTAATGGCGTCCTCGGGGATTAGAAACGTGCATTTTTTCTCGAAAATGGCTTCGAACTTGGGTATCTTTTTGTTTCGCGAACTTGTTTCAACGAACGACCGATCATTGCTCGCACGTGGTAATTATTGGACGAATCTGGATCGGGTCACGATCAGACGGGGGCAGGAATCGAGGCTTTGTTCGTTTGAGAAGTTTGGTCACGGCACACGTTCACGGTTTCGACAAATAACACGCGGTTCGTTTCGACTCCTGTTAATACCGTGGATCGTGATTGGAACGTCCAAGTGGATTAGTCCATTCGGTGGGCATCGAATAACGTTTTGCAACTATAGACCTGAGAGGGAATGCTGGTAACTCGAGCTGCGTGCTGCTACGGGCGACAAACTACGCCGAAGAAACCGAGTCTCGATTGTTGAAATCTTCCCGGAAACTTTCGTCGTTCGTGAAGTTTAAACTGTCGAGCCTCGGCGAGGATCTCTGGCTTGCATCTTTCATACTTTACGATGTTCAAACGTTCTCGCGAGAAGAAAATCTTCCGTTATTTCCATTAATTTTTCGTCGGAATGTAACTTTTAATCGATCGTCGGCTTTAGCAGCGTCGCAGTTTCGAATCGTTGTAGGAGGCAAAAGAACCGCGCGAACTTTAATTAGCCGAGAGATCGGTTTTCCCGGATCTAGAGAGTGTAAATTTAAGGATTCGGTATCCGGTCGGGAGCAATAAAAACCAAATGGAATCGTTAAAAAACGAACAGCACGTGGATCTATTCGGAGGGGGTGAATAAAACGCACGCACCGTAAAAAAAAACATTATCGATACGCGATCGAACCGGATCGATCCGGTCTTAAAAAAGAAAAAAAAAAACCAATTATCACCGAAAGCTCTGGTTCGATTTTAACGAGTATCGAGAGGGACGCTCTCTGTTTCCTTTAGTTTCGTGTCCGCGATACGTTCCTCTGTACAACGTCCTTTTTGCTTTTACGAATATCAAATCCATCGTCTGCGTAGGAGAATAAGTGCACCACGAGTTTTCCCCGATACAACGAACGTTCTTAGCCATTACAGTATTCAAATGCAAACAAGACCTTTCAATTTCCTGCTCGACGAATATTTTCCAGCCAAAAGTCGTTGATATCTTTTATTATTTTTATATTACAGGCTCCGCACTCGAAATTAACCCTTTCGCGGTTTATATTCTCTCATTTGCAAGGCAAACTCGCCTCGAGGGTGGACTGAAAAAAAAGTCAATCGAAAGCATTAAAACCGATCGTTTGCGGTTAATAGGAAATATCTCGATAAAAATTCCACGAATGCACATGTATCCGTGTCTTTCTATTGAAATACACGAATGTACAGAGTATAGAATAGGATTTGGCTGGCGCGTGTCTGACCATTACTCGATATTTCTACTTGCAGCCAAGTAGTAAGTCGCGTTATCGTACGGGAACACGATCTCAAAGACAAAAAATGTTACTTGGGAAATTGTAATTGGTTGGATGGCAAAGTATCTTTGTTCGAAAGGGTTCGATGGAAATTGCACTTTGTCGAGAAATGCATTAGGAGCCATTTGGATCGTTTACTCATGAGATTGCTACTTGTTTGGACACGAAATCAGTGTTATAGCGTCCTTAAGATAGAACGTGATGTAAAAGCTTTACAATTCTAATCATTTTTTCTTTTTTCCGTCGACATTCGGAGAAGTTATAGTTCCGATAATACCCGACAGGTAATAATTGTTTCCAGAACTTTTTATCCGAGAAAAGATGACGCCTTTACTAAGCAAATATTGTCGACAAAACAATGTATGTTTCACGATGGCTCGTCTCGTGAATAATGCATGTTTTCCGACCCAAGTTTTCAGGTCTATTTAGACAACTTTATGGATTTATATTCCCGTTACCGTGCCTTCGGTTTCTCAAACTTTGTTCGCGGGGAATAATATTTTACAATGTTTCTTTCTTGCTTCTCTACGTTTAAAGTGCTTTTCCATAGTTTGTTGGACCGTGGACGCCGACCAAAGTAAATTGAATCGATGCCGATGTAATACCATTTTTTTAATAAAACGGTGTTTACCAATTCGGGATCCCCCTGCTCTCAACAGTTAATTAGATTCTTAAAGCGCAGCTTTAGCTTGTCGGGTAACAGAAAAGTCCTTGAACTTACAGATATATTAAAGATTATTCGTCAACGTCGAGAGAAAACGAATTAGCAGGATTTAACAAAGACGGATGGTTACTCCACCATCGTCAAAAGTATACTTAATATTACGTGGATCGATAGCGTGGAGAACTTGTGGAATGTTCGCGTTAATATCTGTAATGGGTTTTAATAATTTTCGGGGAAGCGAGTGCTTGCCGTTTAATAATTATTTTGTTGGAATCGAATGCAGTTAATTCCCTTTAATTACAGTTATTCCCGTTTAGGATTCATACGAGTTGACCTCGTAATTCATTTTCAGAGGAATAATTAATGTTCTCCGTTTTCTCTCTTTCCGATTCAGAGAACGAGCCCGCGCAGGTTATTTTATTTACAACTACCGCCGGCTAACAAATTTTCCCGTAAAATGTGCCTGCAATTAAACGCACGTAATCGATTTTCATCGCGGTTTTTCCAAACCCTACACGATTTCCCCATTTTTTATGACGAACCGTTGCAAAGAACCGAAATTTCGAAACCCCTTTTCACGAAACGAAACCACAACTTTTGAACAAGTCGAACGAGGATTGCAATTAAAGCTCCGTTGCGGAGGATATTAACTCTCGGTCGTTATAACGTACGCAACAGCTCGTAATCTAGTCAAAAAGGAGGACAGTACATTTTTAATAATGCAACGTCTGTTTGATATAACCGTTTAATAGTCGTAATAAAAGTCTGGCTGAAACAGCGAGCGGGATCGTTGGAATTTTAACGGTAAAAGCAAGGAACGATCCCGCCGTTGGCGGAATTAAGACTACGTGCTAACAGACGTATTGTTGCAACGCTGCACTTAATTACAGTGGAAACGGCGACCCTCAAGAATAAAAGTGATTACAAGAGGAGTTTGCTTGCGCGAAAGACTAATTTCGAGCGAAGCAAAACAGAGCCAGAACCGCTCCAATAAACGTCCGAAACAACACGATTCTATTGTAGTTTTTGGCCAAACTTTCGAAGTTGCTGGTCCACGAAGGGTGTATCTACAGACGTGCTGTTATTTTCCAAGTTTCCTTGGCGCTCGTGCACCGAAACGACCATCCGCGAAGGACTAATTAATCGTCGCGTTTAAAGAATAGCCTGATAATGCAAGTAGACGACGAAACGGTTGAAGCAGACGCCTTTTACGGATCAGATACGGCATCAGGGGATGAAACGCGGATATAATGTTCCAACGGTGAACGGTAGAGAGGCCGAGTAAGCCCAGGAGAATCCTCTGGCATCAGTAGTAAAACCAAGCTCGCGACCACCGAAGGTGCATTCTCTGTATTTTCGGAGATACGCGAGCAACGATACACTTTGAGCAACCGGAAACCAAGCGTGGCGGGCTTGAAACGGACAAGGGAGAATGGCTTTGAAAATTCTCTTTCGTCGTACCGATCGTTTACTTCGCGTGATTAAAAGAACGACGAGGGAAAACGCGAAACGGCACGGAATTAATACGCAGCCTGGTAGAGTTTCGCTCGTTGCACGATTCTTCTCTATGAGATCACTTTTTAGCAAATTTATTTTGATTTCTCTCCTCGATTAAACTTTGAAATAACGCGCAGAGAAACGTTAGATGGTAGTTTACGCGAGTGTATATCACGCAATGGACAAAGAAGCGACGACGTTCCTGGCGAGAGCACGAAATTAGACGTAATTCCTAGCGTGTTGGAAAGTTTGACGATCCAACGTGTTCTCCACTCGTCTCGCGATACGAGAAAGCCGTCGAAACTTACCTGAACGCCACCCACTCCGACGATGAAGAGCAGTTGAACCATGAAAAGGGCTGCCAAGAGATTCATAAGGGTCGTGCCTGCCAGGCTCCGTAGATCCGAAAACAAGCTGGAACACAACGAGAGAATTCTGACGTTCGTTGAGAAATCGCGCGGGCATTTATTCGCGTCTGCCCCGTACAGATGGGTACGGGGATAGTGAATTTTTTTTGTCCCACGAAAAACGAGAAACGTAGAAAGTTATTTACGCTCGTATAAAATTCACCCTGTCAAAAAGAATGGCAGAGTTTGTTCGAATCAAAATGTGCTCGATATAAATGTATGCGAACGGGTCCGGTACGGGGTTGGCTGTGTGCCACGATCGCGCGGTTTTTTTGAGAAACAAACAAGAAAACGAGGCGAACCGCATATATACATATGCAGCCGGAACAGTTTCACCTTGACCAACCTCGACCATCTTGTTTGATTTATGAATTATTCACACTCGACGAATTACATGCGGCGGGGCCGTTCGTGCGAACCTTGCGTTCACTTTTCCATACATCGGGAACATTATTTCGCGTCCGCCTCCACGAACCAATCCAAAATTATTAAACATTGTTGTTCTCGATTAGAAAATAAATACAATTAGATTATATTTTACGGGGCATAATCGCACGAATCGACATTTAAATAACCGGGGGGGGGGAAAATCAGATTATGTCTGTGCACGATTCGCAGCATGGAACCATCGATAAGCAGCGATCCGTACGCTCTTTATTAAAATTCCTTCGATACGAAAGTCATATCCGCGTGGAATTCAAATTGACATCAGGCTTGTCGATATTCCTAGCGACTCGTGTACGTAGCCGGATTTCGCAAACAGACCGTGCACTCGAAATAACACTCGAAAAAGAAAAATACAGGGAGGACCCGGAGTTCGTGGGGAAATTTACTATTCGCTAGACAAACTGGGTGCTCGTCGCCTGTGATCAGTGAATCCTACGCGATGCCCCCTTTCTAAGATAAATTCTGCTCGCGATTTAGTGACTTTAAACTTTTACACGCCCCGGTTCAATTATTTACAAATCGAGTTTTGCCCCCTTTGCCGGTCAGGTTTCGTCACCCGACCACGGAATTATAGTCGCAACAAAAATACGAAACGTGAAAGTAACGCGATATATACTATTTGATCGAGTGGAAACTGTACGCGCGTAGAGCGACGAAAGAAAAAATAGAGAGCAAGGGAAAATGGATCGTCGATGGTCGGACGCGGGCTTGTAACGAATGTTACATTGTATATGTATAGCCTCGCGTGTGTTATTTTAATAATTGTTCCGTGTAAAAAAAACAAATTAGGTACGAGGAATGTTTACGATAGAATGAAATTTTCGCAAAAAGTATGTTTCGAGAGTGTCTGCGTCGGACGTGGAGAGCCGAGAATGACACAGACCGCGAAACAAAACCTTTACAGAAAACTGACGTTGCTCGATCGTCGTTGTAAAATAATATCGGGTGGGTGGTAACGGTTACGATCGCGGAAAACCCTTAAATTTTCTTCCCGCTCCGAGGGCCGACCTCCCTAAAAGTCCATCGGCGATTTCTCGTTCGACCGTTGAATAATTCATTGGAGCAAAGTTTCAGTGGTAGTGCGCCCGCTGGGAAAACCAGTGGCGAACGGAAGGATTATCTCCTTGCTTCTTTTTGTTTGTCCTTTGCCCGGCGAATTCTTTTCCCTCACCGGGGGCGCGAAACTAGAAAGAAAACTGACGAAGGAAATTCTCGAGCGATCGTACGTTAGAAATCGATCGATCGCGGGACGAAACGGGACGCTACTTTCGGCTCGTTTGCTTGAAATAATTACTTGGAGATTCTCCAGTGCCTTTTCCTTGGATAGTTTCGCGGAGATCTCTCTTTGAGACGGTGCGAATGAAAAAAAAACGAACGCTACGTTAATTCGAAGAGTGCATAAAGCCTCTCCGCTCTTAAAGACGCCCAGGGTGATTAAGCTCTCGACGCTGATAAGGGAAAAAGTCGTCGAGTTCGAACGAACGATCGATCTATCGATCAACGTCTCGAGTGCCGACCGAGCAACGCTCCTCCACTAAATTTCATTTCTTCTTCCGCCCCAACTATTCATCCGGACGACAAGCTTTTTAACCGTCTCTCGAGCCTCGAAATGTCATCGGTGAAAAAGAGCCGGACGAAGATCGATCGATCGATACCCAGAGGATTTATGAATCGCCTCTTCTTGAGAGCTTTTCAAAAACTTCCGCCCAGAAAACCCAGACAATCGCGATACTTATCGAGTACAAGCTCTCTCCGGAGGATCCTCGGTAAACACTCCGCCCGTTTTCCACTTTCGGTTTCTTCATTCTTATTCGATGTTGCGCGTACGATGAAACCCGATAAAGCCTAAGATTTCGAAAATACTTTTACCTACGTAATTTTGTTACTCAATACGGAAGAATTTGCATGGTGAACCTATGTTTTTCACACGAATTCGAGAAGACCCGGGAAAGTTGTCGCGAACGTGGACAAAATTGTACAGGATTCGAGGTCGAATCGCACGATCTCCAAAGTTTGCCCGTTCTAAAGTCACACAGAGACCCGAATCGCTTTATTTGTATCGATACTGTTGGAAGTTTCCGGTACGAGCGCAGCCTGTGTCAGTTCATCGACGACTGATAAGCGTAAAACTTGCTGAATCATCTCGAAACTTCAATTACTCGACTCGCCGCTTACCCGCAAAATCGAATTGTGTTTTTTACTCTAATCCGACCAGCTCGAACGAACAAAACAACGGTCGCCGGAGAACTTACTTCGACTCTTGCGAACCGTGAAAATTGCGAAACGCGTGGCAGAAAATGTCGCTTACAATGGAAGCCACGCTGCGATAACGATTTAAGTTCGCGTAAGTCGTTTTTCGATAAAGTGCATTTCCCTGCATCCGCGGGACTCTTTTCATCCTACGCCCGTTAACTTTATTTCCATCCGGCTTATAACGTTCGTCGGGGAATTAAAACTACCGCTCGCAGTCTGCTATTTCATTCCAGTAAACAATAAACTAAGCGTGGAATGCATTCCTCGCGGTAATTGTTTTCGTGAATTCTTGTTAAAACGTATCTTGAGGACTGGATAACCGAACAAATTGGTAACGTCATCGCGCTGTATGATCGATGGTAAAACCAAGGTACAGAATGTTTCGTTGTAAATCGCGCGAAGGCATTCTTTGAAAAGGCTCTCGCTGATAACAGTAGATCCATTTGCGTTGAAAACTCATCTCCGTCGTTGGAATATCGCATCCTTAAATCTAAATCGCACCCTCGAGGTCCAAGGGTTCCGACAATTTCTCAAACTTTACAGCCGTAAACTATCCCAATCGCCCATCGACCATCTCTCTTTCGCTCTTTTTAATATGTTCCAATTACGTAGTTACCGGGTCTCGATTCTAAAATTGGCATATAAAATCAAATCAAATTGAAAACGCAAACTGTTGGACGAATGTGACCTTTTCGAAGAAATTGGAAAATTCGATCAAAACGATGGATAGTACGTTCGGTTATTAATATTTCAAAGATAGAAGAATTTATGAAACGTTTGATCGTTGGATACATAGTGCACGATGGCTTTATCGAATGATCGTTTAAATATTCGTTTGTCAGCGGTAACTTTATCGACGATCGAATAAATTGTACAAGCAGCTTTGTTGGAAAAATGACGGAGTTTCTCCGTTTTCCGTTTAGCGTTTCGGCGTCTTTCGGGTTTGTTTGCGAAAACTCTGGAGGATTCGTTGGAAATTCGTCCCATTGACACGGCATGGCGGGCAAAAGAAGGGAAGAATGGAAGGGCTGCCGCGATACGTATAAGCACGGAGCGCGCAACGTTATTGTCGCGTTTCAAAGGGGTATTAATTTCGCTGTCTCGTTAACACCGCTTCCGGGACGATAAGCAAACTCTTTAGCGAAACGGCATTCGCCGGGGGCCGCGGTGCAAAGATTGAAAGGAAAATGTACCGTGGGAGAAAGAAAAAAAGAAAAACGGGTAGTATTTTTCGTGAAAGAATATCCGTGAAAAGCCAGCTAGCAATTACGATTTCTTCAAAATCTGGGCCACGACGGTCCTTTATCAGGTCGGTAGAGTCGTTCGGACAATGCAGCCACGCTGAATTCTGTTCCACCTTTCACTCTGCATCCATCCATTCATCGAGGATACCTTTCGCGATGATTAACACCGACAAAAAATCCGACGAGCGAGGAACTAATTAATTTTTTCAATCGCGACGAATACCCAACGCCTGTCTTGCGATCGATCCACCCTTTTGTTACGGAACAATTTAAACGGATCGCGAATGGCTCTATACGATCGGTCAAATTTTCACAATCTCGGGCAAAAATAATATCGGTATAATGTCCCTCCTTAAATTCAACACGCGCCGACAACAATGAAAATGCGAAACGTCGCTTCGTTTTGTTCGAGTTACCCTATACGAGCGTCGAGGTTTCCAAACTTTCATCGAAACGTCAATATTTACGGTTATGGAATTATTTCTTGGAATTGTATTTTATCCAACGATTTTTCGTTGGTAGAAACGGGGAAAAAAATTGAAACGCGCTGGTCGTTTCCCCGTGTAAGCGCGATTTCGTGACCTGATCAATGCGGACCGGTTTCGACGGAAACGTTTTTACTATAATCTACGAATTTGCATTGGAGATCGCGAAACACCTCGTGCAGATGTAGAGGACTTTTAAAACTGTGCTACGTTGAAAGTCTCAAAAAATTCCTGGCAATTTTTCACTCGTGAAAGGAACGATTTGGAATTACAGCTTACAATTTACTCGTTTGCTCGCGGGCGAAAAGAAGTCGTACAATAATCTTCCTGGGACTGTTCGGATTACTTCAACGCTTTAAAACTACCGTGGATTTGAAAGATGAGAATTCAGAAACAATTGATCCCGCAATTTTGACTCGCGCGTACCGTTTTGAATCGAATATTACGAAATAGAAGTAGAAATACCGCGCGGCCGGCAAATCGAAAAGCAAAAATGGAAAGGAATTCGCATCCCACGGAGCCGCGGAATCGTGAAAAACTGGAACGTGGAAATGAACATTCTGGGAGACGCGAGAATT